GTGATTTACTTAGTTTAATCCCATGAGTACCTCAATTTTACAGTAAATTGGGGATTTGTAAGCAAAGCCTTAGAGTTTTTGCTTCGATTTCATCCACCATTTTAACAGTGTTCGACTCGTAGAGTTTCTAAGTTTTTATGATTTTGTGATGTTTTTTGGTATGTTTGCTATAGGAATAGAAATAGATCTTTATGCGATCTTCAAGCAACTATACCTCACAACACTCAAATTGCCTGTGCTAGAGGTAGAGCAACATTATCTGTTTTTTGGGTTTGTGAGATTGTTCTTAGTTCGTTTGATATGTGACTATATTTTAGGTCTGTAAGATTTTTTCTAGATTTTTGGTTGAGATTTGAGTCTTAGATGAAAGAAGAGAAAGAAACAAGTGGGGGAGAGAAGAGCGAGAGAGAGAGAGAGAGAGGAAGCTGGCGAAGGGTGTAGAGCTTGGAGTGTTTTCCTAGACAAGAAAACCAAGTCAAAGTTTGCTTGAGGCTCACATTTTGCCACATCATTACGTGACAAAAACATAAACAGTTACTTGTGTAACATCCTCCATCTCCAGGAAATTCTTTAGGATTATTTTTGAATTTAAAAATAGGATAAAATAGTGTTTAAAATAGTTTAAGCTTGTGAAAAAAATCATAACATCTTAATTTTTAGAACTTAATTAATACTGAAAATAAATTATGCCATGGTAATTCGAATTTATCATCTAATTAGTTGAGTATGAAAGATTTACACATGATGAAATAAAATATGAGGATTCAATTTCAAGATACATTTTATAGGAAAGAGAAATTTATAAGATTGGGTGAGATTAAATAAATATGGTATTAACTTTGTTAAGAAATTATATTTATTTAAATTATATTGGAACCAAATATAGTTAAGATTTATTTTTTATTTTTTTTAAAACCTAGATTGATTAATATCAAACAAATTATATTAGAGGATTTAAAAAAAATCGGTAGACATGTTTAGATAATGTGAAAAAAAGGAGAAAAAAAGATAGGAAAAATATAGTAACATTTTTAAAAATAAAGTAAAACAAAAAAAACTAAAATAAATATATATACCGCATAAAGGTACATACAATGAGGGCATTATGTATGCCCTCATGTTAGCGGAGGATTTAGTCCTCTTTTCCACGGCGGCAGCGAGGGAAATCACAAGAGAACAGAGCGAGCATTCGCAGAGCAGGCAAGAAGAAATTCTAGGGAAGTTTATAGATATTTCTAGATTAGATCAAAGCCTTTTAAAATTGGATAAGTATCTTGAAATTTTTGTTCTAGTTAAACTCACAAGTTTTGAATGATTTAAAAATTTGAAAAATAAATCCTAAGAATTGGATAGAGTTGCAGAATCATTGAGTTGTGACTCTATGAATATATATTAAAAAATAATTTTTAAAAACTCTAGATAACTTTAGGAGCTGTAGAGATTGTCTTAGACCTCTTTAAAGTAATTTATAAATTAAAAGTAACCTGAGAAAATATATTTTAGCTCATTATAATTTATTTAAATTATCTAGGGATGAAATTTTAATTTATTACATGTTTAGGACTAATAGAATTTGCTCATGAGCGCTTTAAAGTTAAAAAATAAGGATTAATATAATTTATAATTGTTTTGGAAAGTCTTTGAAAAGCTTTAAAGTTATAAAACATTAACTAAAATTAATAAAAATTAACTGGAGTAGTTTTAAAATTACATATAGCTTACAGGAGTGTTTTGGAATGATTTTAGAGCAAGAAATAAATTAAATATAATTTGATTTGATTTTTTAATTCCTTAATTTTCTATTTGTAGATGTGTTAGGATTTTTATTAAAGACTCCTAAATTTTGCTTTAATGTTTGATTTAGCTAAAAGATCTCTTGCAGAGAGACATTGGGTTCTTTGAGTAAACTCAAGTTTATGTAACTTCTTTTAAAGTTACCTTATATACTAATGTGGGCAAATAACTGAACCTTTTCGGTACTAATATCAAATTAAACCTAAATAGCATACTGATAATAATGTTCTATGAAAATTCAACCTAGTGGTTAACAAAGTAAATCTTTGAAAACTTTTATGTGAAACTATGGTTAGTGAAAAATCCTTGAAAATTTTATAATTGCTTGTTTGAAATTTTTTAGATTGGATAGACTTGCATTGGTCATAACTTGATTGGTTGGTGTTTGATTGAGTTGTTTGAATTAATATATAATATATAAAATTTGATCGTATCTATAGAATGATAAATGATGTAAATTTTGAGAAATACTTGATGTAAAAATTGTAATTTGATTTACAATATATTGGAACTCTATTGTTATGAGGTAGTTGTAGGTTATGAATTTAAATTGAGGAACTAAGGCTGGATCGTGATTACGCACTTGCCCCCATGTGAGGCACACTGGGTGGCTTTGATATATACCTAAGCTACTCTAATTCCTTTGGCTAAGGTTGGGACAAACTCGATACCATTTGGGCACTCCTTACAATCAAAAAGAGGAGGTCGAGGTTTGATGAGAAGTGATGGAGCCTTTGGCTTGACACTATCTCCTATCACCTAAAATCTCAACTTTGGGAAATAATGAGAAAATAAGGTGAAATAAATAAATGATAAAAATATAACTATTGTTAGATTTTTTTTTTGAGATATTGTTTGACTTCCTATGTGAAATCAATATAATTGTTATTTGAATATTGAGTGTTATGATAATTTTGAGTTGCATGATTTAAACTTTGTAACATACTTGTATCCTTTTATGTTTAATAATAAAGAGGTGTTTATTTCTTTTTAAGTGCGCACGTGCATAATAATGAAAAGGTGTTTATTCCTTTTCAAGAGCGCATGCACGCTTTAAACTTGTCGGCACACTTGTTTGAGATATAATGCTTGTGCGTGCGTGTGTTCATTCCTTCCTCAAATGCTGTAGTATTATTGGAAAATATTTATAGATAGGTGGTAACTGTTGATTGTGAAAACCCATTAAATTAATTATTTATCGACCTAGATATATTGTAATCTTCAAAGAGGTTATTGAGACATTTTCTCACTTCTATTTTAAATGTTGCAGGAACAATTAGCTGAGTTCCAACAAGGGAATAGGTGTAAAGACCACCACCTCCTTAAAGAATATGGTTTAGAAAAAGACCCTACTGCCATACCACAAGAATAACTATATTTATTTAATTGCTTATTTAATACTTTTGCTTTTGTTTTACTCTAAAATGTATATGTTTGTAAAGATAATTTTTAACTTTTTCTACTATAATAGTTTGTAATACTACTTGAAAATCTTTTCTTGTGATAGCGGGGCTCATGTTAATTAGATTAAGATGAATATTTTTTATAACAATAGTAGCTCTCTAAAATTTAGATTAATTATTATCTATAATGATTACCTTTTAAAAATATATTTGGTAATTAGTTTTAAACTTTTATACTAGGGTAATTATTTTCATTGGTTAAATCTTTTTCTTACCATGGTATTTGATTAATTTTTTTGTTTAAAAATTTATGATGTTATAACTCGGCCGAATGGGGCTTTTCTTCTTTAACAAATAGTTTATGAATAAATTTACTTCATTTAAAAGTACAAGATATTTAATACTCTTTTAAGAAATGCATAAAAAAAAAATTCAACCTTAGTCCAAAGAAAAATAAAAAGGTCTGCAATGTCAACATCAATTAAATTAAATCACCTACCGTCGTGTGTTGCTGGTGAAAACTCACGATTTCAATCGGAGATTAAAATTTTGGTAACAAAAATTCGAAATTAAAAAATTGAAAGAATTTTAATTAATTTCTTTTACTACGTTAATTTACATTTATTTTTATTAAAAGATTACAGCTCCATTCATTTAATTTTTTAAAATCAAATTTATTAGAATCTCCCATTAGTCACCCAAGCAAAATGAATTAACTGTGCATTTACCTTTAAATTATGACAGGAAATGTTTCAAAGGAGCTGGGGATCATAATCTCGTGATATAAGTTAATTTCAATATACTTTGTTAGAACTAATAGAAATCTTAAAACTGATATACCCTATTTAAAAATTTCATATGTTTATAAAGTTGCTCTTATTTAATGTATGTATTTTAATATATTTTCCCAGTCTTTAACCAATATTTAATGGGAGATAAATTGAAAAAAAAATTGTGATAAAAAGTCAATAACATGCCTCATAAATATAAAAAAAATATTTTCTATTTGATTTATAAACAGGCTTGGATGGAATAAAGATCACAATTTTTCATTTCAATGATTTTCAGGCTATTTAAATGGTTTAAAAAATGTCACTTCATTATTTTTGTCTTTTTAAAAATTCCAAAGTATTATTTATTAAAAATTTTTCTATTATATTCTTATTTACTTGAATAAGTTAAATTTATTTAACACATTAATCAGTTGTAAGCTTGACAATATAACTCGTATTGTAATATATCAATTGTATTTATTAATTTGTGTATTTAAATCTTAAAACAAAGGAAATCATAAAATGTTCCCATCAAATTAAAACTTTTTTTTAAAGTAGAAACAGAAGCATATATTCGAAAAAAGAAAAGCTAGTTACAAGAAAAAATAACCTAAAACCTTGCACCCTCCATCTCTACTATGAGTTAGGAGGTGGATGATCAAAGAACAAAATTCATCCAAAATAAAATGAGGCGTAAAAAGAAACAAATTTACTGGGCACGGCTGTAGAGGATGGGTTAGACCAAAAATACTCCAATATAGTGGAGGAGATCATAGAATTTTGTTTTTGGGGGCTAAAATTGTAGATTTAATTTTAAAAGGTTGAAAGATATTTGACCATCACATCTCTAACTGGAACGTAGAAGACATGAGAGTTATGAAGGAGCCATTGTAATTGTAGGAATTTCTTGGACGAAACTTAATTAGGCAAGCCATTCGGTTGTATTTTTATTAAAATTTCGCCTTATTTATTTATTTATTTTTTTTAGGTGGCGCTTTGTTCCTAAATTTCCCGGGAAACTGTTGTACGCCACTCCGGACGTGTGGATGCAACAATTGCAGTAGAAGCCGACAGATTCTCCATTTATTGGACTTTTCTGACTGACCATGGCCTGAAGAAACCTCCGGGTCGTTTCCACGCTAATAAGACGCCGAATGGCCCACGTAATTTCTTCATTCTCTCCATAAGACGTCGCTGCCACCACCCTCCGCGATGGTGGTTGCCACCCCCGTTTGTTACAATCCCTCTTCCAGATGTCTGGCTCCCAATTTGCCTCGTCAAAGATTCTGTCATCGCTCTTCTTTTGCTGATTCGTTTTCTGCCTCCAGATCAAACTTCTTCCCCAGGAGGCCCCTTTCTCTTTCCCGGGGAAACCGCCTCTTGGTACAGAATAACATGGATGAATTGGTTAAAACTTATGCTATCCGAGATAATGATAGTGATGAAGGCGTTCAAGTGCTTGAGCAGGAATCTTTAATTGATGGATCATCCCAGCTCGGCTTTAAGTTTCCGCTTCGTGAGCTGGAACCAACTCTCAATCGACTGGTTCGTAACCCTTTCCTTCTTTATATCAATCATGGGTACGACTGTTGGCTTCCATCACAATTCACAACTATGGATATCAAGTTTTTTGGCTTCAAATCAGTTCCGTTACCTATTTATGGGAGAGGGTGGGATAAAGCAAACTGTTCCTTTCATAGGTTGCGAATGTTCATTACTGCGCGAGGAAACTGTTAAGAATTAAGACTATCCGAGGTAGAGCAGCGTTACTCTTTTCGTCAAGGCATGCGTTGGATTAAGCTTGAATGACAAACTCGGAGGATGAGCTTGTAAGAACTGTTATGAAATTAGAGGATCTAGGCTATGTATCACCAGCCTTCAATAAAAGATTTGAAAACTTAGGATAGGGCAGGCCAATTCCGCCGCCCTCTGACAAAGCATCACTAGCGGTAAAATCGGAGCAACTTCCCTCACATTTAAAATATGCATTCTTAGGCTCTTCAAAATTTTCCTGTCATTGTGTGTATAGAGTTAAATGCTGGGCGGAAAGACAAATTGCTGATGATGCTGGTGCTCGCGATCCAGCTACAGGCTGGATGATTTCAGACATTAAGGGGCAATAGCCCGGTGATACATATGCATAGAGTTTTACTTGAGGAGAATTACTCCCCAAGAGTTGAAAATCAAAGCAAAATCACTCCCTTGTTGGACCCTCTATAAACTTTGCATCACTCTGTCACTTCCCAGTGCTATCAATTTGAACTGCTTTAACTAATAAATTATTTTACCAGCCCGTCATGTCATAACTCAAGATATTCTTTTAGACTTGTTAGATTGACTTGAAGGTTTTTGGGTTGCTTTGGTTCAAAAGCTCCTATTGCAGTACACTAGTCACATAACCATCTTTGGTGCTGGTTATTGTTAAACTAACTCTTCATCACAATTGTTTAATGGGCAAATGGATCTGGTGTTTTGTTCGCAGAGCAAGTGGATGGTATCTGCCTTCTTTGGTGCTCTCATTCTCTGGAGGCATGATGCAGAATCCTTATGGTTTGCAGCAGGATCTATTTTAAATGCTGTGTTTTCTGTTGTACTCAAAAGAATACTGAACCAGGAACGGCCTTCTACCCTAAAATCTGACCCTGGAATGCCATCTACACATGGACAATCCATCTTCTTTTTTGTCACTTTTGCTATTTTGTCAAGTAATTTCCCCTTCCCAATCTTCATATTTATATCAGTTTCAAGGAGACATATTCGCTAATGTCTGACAATTGTATGTCCATTTCACATCTGATAAAATATATAGGTTAGACAGGTGTTAATGGACTTTGAAGCATCTCCTTTCCATATTTTGTATTCCCTCGGTTTTTTAATACGAAGCAAAACTTTCATATGGTTCTTTGTTTTTTTTTATAAGCAAGACAACAACTTTGAAGAAGCGTTTATGACATTGTTCCTAAATTGGCCTTCATTATATCATAGTATCATTAAATGAGGAAAAGAATTAAGGATTAATCGCAAGGGCATTTCAGTCCAGAACTTTCAATTTCAAGTATAATTATTAGGATTAAACAAGTTTGTTAAACTGTGTGAGTTGGATAAAATTTGCTTATATTTGAAGATGGAGGAAGTACTTGCTTTTCCTATTGTAAAAGTTCCAATGGTTTGAGTTCAAAGTTCTGGTGGAAAGAAGACTAATACTAGTTTAGTTCTTTTGGGAATTTTATATATCTCTTGTATATCTTGGCATCTTCAAAGTTTAATCTCCTATTGTTATCATTGGAAGAGGGTAGTTTTATTGTTGAGTTGATGTTCTACTTTGAGTTCTTTTATTACTCTTGAGTTCAGTATCTTTCCTTGTTTTCAGATTCCTATAAAATAGGACAGTTTATTTGGAACACTTAAATGCAACCAGAAACTTAATTCTAGAATTACACTCTTAAGATGCTTGGAGGCAGTGATTGTGCTTTAAAAATAGTTTCTTTGCAGATTCAGGGTAACCTGGGCTGGTTTCACTACAAACCTTTTGCTTTTCCTATTGATGCTGCAGGTGTAGAATGGCTAGGGTTAAGTGTATCTAGCATTATCATCAGTGGACTTGCCTTGGCGCTTGGTTCTTATTTTGTAAGTGTACATATATAGTGTTTCCTATATGGTGTCTCCTATTTTTCTAAGAAACATAGCGTTCCTGGCTCGTGTCCATTGAGAATAGCAGTTCTCTTGTTCATTGGTGCCTTATCTTCATGCTATTCCATAGGATTTGTAAGAAATGTATATCTTCTTAATTCTTTGTTGTCTTTGGCATCAAATGAACCATGTAGATGGCCAGATGTATGTTCGCATGCTGTTCTAGTAAATTGTTTAATGTGAGCCGAAGGTTCCAGTTTATGATATTCTGAAATGTCAGGTGAAATTTGATGACTTGTTCAGACGTGATAGTATTTTTTGTTTCCAAAGAACTCCATAGGAGCATTCAGATTATGAGTTCAGAATCATATCTCGTAAACTAACAGCCATGGGAGCATCTCCTGAACATTCAGTTCATATTGATCCTGAATTATACTATACAAACGTCCGCACTCGTATAGCTTAGTGCATTAGAACACAAACATAGACAAGGGAAACATATCCTGGTTCCTACACTGGTGACATCTGGACCCTAACACACATGCGAATAACGTCTGGACTTGGCTGTACTATGACATATAAAATACTGACAACACAGCCAGAAGTAGTTAATATGCACAAGTAACTTCCTAACTGCCATTCTTACATAGACCTGAACCTATATCTGCATCATTTTTCCATCTTTCCCTTTCCTTCTACTATAAGTTATACTAGGAGATGAAACACTATCAGAGTTTGACATGGATTCCTTGTTAGTGTTCCACTAGAAGAACGATGAACATTTTTGTCCGCTGAAATGATATTTAACCTAGACTTATATCCAAGTTATACATCACACACTGTACATGCATCATTCAACTAGCATTCGTTCGCCCTCCTCTTTGAATTTAGAGCCGTTGATAATTAGCATTATCTACTTGCAATCTAATGTTGAATCTCATTTCTATATATTGATGATTTAGCCTTGAGGTTGGTTTGTGGTCCCATAGCATGAATGTTTTAAATTTGAAGCTACTGTTTTGATAGAAAATTATTTGTAAGGATCAATTGCTCATGCTGTAATGCATTCCCTGTGTTTGCAGTCATACCTACGGGTATCCCAACAACTTCATACAGCGAGCCAAGTGGTTGTTGGTGCCATCGTAGGATCCATCGACTCTATCTTGTGGTATTGGTTATGGAATGCTTTTGTGCTGGATGCATTTGTATCCTCTCAATGGGTTAGAGTCGCTGTTGTTTTGGGGTCTGCTGGAATTTGCTTTGGTTTTGTAATCTATGTAATTCGCCATTGGCTTAAAGACGACTAGGAACTTCATCAGAATTGTTACAACATGGTATTGGCTTTATTAAATAGAAATTTCAAGTTTTTTACGCTTTATGCGACTCTTAAGACTCGATCCGGAGGCTTACGATTTTAAGTTTCATGTGCTATATACAATTCTTGAGACACGTTCCAGAGACTTAGAGCTCGAACTTTATTTATCACCGTCCGAAAGGCAGAAAGGTATGATGGATGCTGAATCTGAATGAAGGCAAAGTTGGGCTGATTAAGTCTCAATGTTGTCAAACAAATGGTAAATGCTGCCTTAAACGGAACAGAGTAATGTATGCCCTCCTGGATGGAAAACGACACTCATCTCTAAGAGAGAAACTAGTTTACGAGACCTTAAAACTAATATTTCTCTAGTACAAATAACATGAAGTTTACGTGGTTCAATCAGGCTACTTCAGTTCCCAATATGCCTTCCTCTGTTCCCACCTCCATATGGAGGAACTCCTCGTCTTGCTCTTGCCCTCTTCCATCTGTGCATGTTCCTCATTCTTGCAAAAATCTTCCGAAGTTGGTGTAACCTGTGAGATTGCTGAGCAATAACATTTGCTGTGGAAGTACTCTGGCCTAGCATTATACCATACCCGTCTTGAAAAGACTCCATACCTTCAGTAAGAAGCTGCCAGAACATGGCTCCCCCTGCTGGCCCTCCCCGTTTTGCAGAAGCGTATATCTTGTAGTACACGCTATTAAAAATCTGATCTCTCTTGTATGTGCTGTAACCTGCATCTTTCCATGACTTCCCAAATTCTGCTACAAGTATTGGCTTCCGGAGACCGTACTGGGCATCTAAGAAGTGTGCACCGAGCCAATTATTCAAGAATGAAAGTTGATATTGATCATTGGTGGTGGATAACCTGTTTATACAATGAACACACGCGCTGCATTAAAAATATTTCGATTAATGAATTGAATTTAAGTATTTTGGCAAGCATTTTTTAGGAGTATAGTTACCATTGGTCAGGATAACAGTGAACTGTTGCAAAATCAATGCCAGGGATCCGATTATTTGCAATGAAATCCGTCCCTATATCAAAACCTGGATTCAATCTCTTTCTCTGAGGTGTTGACTGTCCATAGAATCCTTCTAACCCAGCTTCCAATAAGTGATTTCTGTCCATGGACTTCACAAAGGAAGCCATTTCCGCTATCCATGCCTATGATTGAGAGTCAAGAGTCAGCTCTTAAAAAAGTAATTGGACGCGGGCCAATTTCAAAACGTGGTAGAGTTGAAAGTTCTAATTTTGCAAAAAGCATCTTCTGTTTGAACAAAGCACACCGTCTATGAAACCGCAAAATCCGGAAAATCAAAGAAGAAAAAGAAAAAGAAAAAGATGAACAAGAACAGTAAAGATGTTTGGTTTGACCTGGATAGTCCTTCCGGAACGATCTGACGTGCATCTGGGCTCATTCATCAGCTCCCACGCCATGATTGTTGGGTCGTCTTTGTAATGAATTCCCGTAAAGCTATTAAATCTGCCAATAACAGTCTGTTGAAGGCATCGGTTAAGTCAGAACATGAAATCGTAGTACACAACAAAACGCCGAAAAACTACAAAAAAACTGCAATCACTCATTGTTACTATTTCATCATCTAATCTGATATGTCGGACATAAGTATCGGGACAAGCTGAACTTATTAACTACAAATCCCATCATCTTGCTTCTGCAATTCACAAAATTCCAGAAGAATATAAACTGGAAAAATTGGGAAACTAAATTAAAAGCAGAGGACGGGAAACGAATGATGGGAAATTTAGGACAAACTAAAAATTACAATCACTTGTGACGTCAAGAAAATAACGGGCATTCTGCAAACCTTGACATGGTTTTTGTAGTAACCCTTAACAACAGGGCTCCTGAAGAAATCATCATCTGAAGTTAGGTACTGCCCTTTACTTCTAGCCCAGTTCACATACTGCTTCTTCCCCCCAAAGCTCTCATAGTTGTTCACGAAGCTCAATATAAGCTTGATCCCGTGCTTCCTAGCCTCAGCTATAACGAAATCTAGCCCCTTCAAACCAACACATACACAAAACATTAGCAGTTCTGCATGTTAAAGAGCGGAACTTTCTCGTCTTTTTAGGACCTTGAGTGAGTCTTGCGAGAGATACCTTGAACATTTGCTCATTATAGAAACCAGGCGAATACTGCAAGGGTCTGTAACCACCATCACTGAACGCCCAAGTTCTCGCAATAGTGAGGCCGTGGCTAGTGGCTTCACGGAAAGCAGCAGAGATTTTGAACCTTTGGGACGGGTCTGAAGCTACATACATTAGCCAGTACGCATTGAAGCCATTTGCGTAGAAGGAGTATCCATTCAACAGAAAATGGGTGCCTCTGGTTCTGACGAAGCCATCCCCTGCATCCGCAAGCACATAGACAGAGCTCTGGTGGATTAAAATGGCCAGGAGAAGAGCTAATGAAATTTTCTTCATTTCTCTGCTCCAGACTCTCACACACGCACACTGACAGACTCAATGTGGAAGGAGTCGTCTCTTACTGTTTATAAACTTGCAGTGGAGATAAGAGTAAAACGAAAAAAGCGGGTTTTATGAGGCTCCGAGCTCTGGCCGAAGGCCGTCTCTTACTACTGCAAAACAAATTCGTAAATATATAATGTTATTTTGGAGATGTTTCGAAATTAATAACTTGATATGGCGTTGATATAGCCTTCGAAAGCAAAGCAATGTAGGATTGGATTTAATGAAGAGAGTGATGCATAGGAATATGAATTTCGTACAATAACTCGGGGGTAAAACCAGATACATTATGAGATTAAATGCTAAAAATGACATATCGAAGGTACTAGTATTTGCTGAAAAGCTATTATTTATTTAATTAAATATTTTTTGATGAAATGTCTTGGGCAGAGGGCGACATTAGCGGGAAAGTTAGTTTAATGAGCGGGAAGGACAGAGAAAGAGGTTTTGATAGTGTTAATATTTCTACCGACACATAATTGTCGTAATGTGACAGGCAGGTAACCCAAATGAATGCGCGGAGAGCATCTGTGAGGAAAAATTTAGTCAAGTGGAAAACGATCTAAAGAAAAACGATTAACATGACATGCATTTGCTTTTAGTAATCAAAATCTTGAGAATAATTATATCAACGCCCTGTCCCTTCATTCTGGTTGAATATTATGTTAGCCCAAGATTCAGTCGCTGATGTGCAACTCGATGGTTTTTCAGATCTAACGTAAACGAAGTGCCACCGACAGTATGCAACTTGATGAAATGGAAGGACGTACATGAAGGAAGTAGCAGGAATAACCTTAAAATAGTTAGGTTCCAAGGATATGATATCTATGCCGGAAAATGATTTCCCTGGCTAACAGGTTTATCAACTTATCCTCAATTGCTAATTTGTGAAGAGGCTTCAATGGGGATAAGGGCGTGATCCATACAAAACAGGGCTCGGTGGAAAAAGGAAATAATGGAGTGATGATTAGGGTGAGAATGATGGGAGTGCCACCAACTTTGTTCTCCTGCTTCGCCATCTCTATCTCATTTACCACTTGCCATCGCCTCGTTTGCTCCCAGGTCGGCACCCCCCTCCCTCTGGCTTAGAAACTTTATTCACAGTATAGTTATCCAATCAACCTACACCCATGTTTAACTAATACAACCATCACCCATGTCAATAGTGTATCTTTTTTTTTTCCCCCAAGAAACTCGACCTTGCCGGGTTCAATTTTTAATCAATGATGATTGTTAATGCAACGTCTCATGTTTCTTTCTTCATACAAATCATTGCATCTTATGCAAATGAAAACATCAAAACGGCGGAGGAAAAAAAAAAAAAACATACATGGCCATATCTTGTATCAGTTATCACTATATCATGATATATAACAGCATCTGTCCAAAAGTGTCTTCAGAATAGAGGATGTGATGTAAAGGAACACCATGGATGGCAGGTGATGCGTTTAGTCGGGAGGATGTCACCACGTGGCCAAAACAAAACGGTTCGTGATGCTTGGAACATATTGGCTGCATGGGCGTTAGAGTAGAGAATGGTGGACGATTGGCGTAATAAATAGGCGACATCAGCGGATTTAAGACACTTTGCGAGCACATATCGTGCACTGTCTGCTCCGCCAAGCATCAACAATAAATTCTATCTCCAATACATTGAAAGCCTCAATACTCTCCTTTTCGTTCAGCCAACAAAACAACGCCGAGTTGTTAACTTTTTTCTTCTTTAAAAAATCAGCAGCTTCGCGAGCTAGATTCGAAAGAATCTCCATTGTAAGATCTTTAGCATAATTTCAATGTTGGTGTCCATGCATCGGACATAAATATCCGCGGGCACCCAGGCACACCACGTAGGTCGTTAAGACATCATGTAGATCAATAAACCTACACCAAACAATCTAGTTGGAGAGATTTCTCCATTAAATTACATACAATCCATTCCCAAAAGCAGAGAGAGATGACTTTCTCACGTTTGAAATTTTAGCATTGAGCCAAGTCTTGTACCCGAGAAAGTTCACCCGGCCTACTTGAAATCAGAGATGGAAGAGATAAGAGAGCATGTGATCCTCCAGGTGGCTCCATAGTCCATACTCGCGGCTAATTTCCCACCCGAGCCTCTCACCGGGCTAGATATAGATAGATAGTGGCGCGCAACGGTTTGATTGGTTATTCCCAATTTGTCATTCATACGGCGGTAGTTGGGACGTTCGGAGTGAAGTCATTTTTGGGTTTTCATTTTTCACTGAGAAGCGTGGATCGTAGGTTAAATAAAATACAATCACCATTATCCCAAAAAAGAGAGAGAGAGAGAGAGAGGCTTCTTACAAACTCCAGCACTCACAATGTAATGTAAAAGTGACCTATGAGAACGAGTTAATCCTCATAATATAAACTTGGGCCTGACTCTGAGAATTCAATCCCTCTACACCCATGCTTCATTTCCTTCACGTTCTACTCCGAAGGCCGAAGCCTCAGCGTAACCCGAAAGACAAACTGGAAAGCTGACAGTACTTGACAAGCAAGTCACCAGCTCTTCATATCGACAGCACATGAATAAAATGTGGAATAGTCCTGAAAATAACATATCTCCCATGCTAAAGCCCTTACAAAAAGTAGATGTTGACAGGTGCCGCTAACGGCTTTCGGAACCTTCATAATGATATTAGATAGTTTTGCCTCGTCAAGGCATAACCATGCCACAACTCTGTTGAAATCCCAAATTGAATGAAAGGAACATGGTTTTACCAAGACTGGCAACGACGGCACAGAAACACACCAGAATCGGAGGCATCATCCTATCCCCCCATGCATCAAAGCTCAACCAACACCATTCCTTCTTCCTATTATTTCATTGACTAAATCCTCTTTTGCAGTGCATTAATGCTCGGGGGAGCACGAGCTTAAATAATCATCCATCGTCAACATGCCGCGGCAATGTAAAAAAAACCAAACACATCTATCGCAAGCACAAATCTATCGCTGGCAGAAATGCACGAGTTACAGAAAATCTCAACATGAACTGAGCCACTGCAGTACATATCACCTAGATATTCTGTGCCAGGCCCTACTTACATGCTAGATGCAAACGCTCGAGATGCGGAAAATTGCATCTATAAAAGTTAACCACACTGTGGCAGGTATTCGTTTTATTCTCCTCTCCTAACATCAAAAGGCGCTACAGTTAGTATTGACACTGTATATTACTTGGCTGCATCCCCATGTTCAGAAACCTGATCATGGTGCGTAGAAGACGATTTTCCCACTGGAACATAAGACCACGCTATAGTGGCAGCACCAAGCACAACAGCAGTAGTAATAGTACCCCAAATCCATCTCTGCCTATGACTTCTCCTTTGCCTCTCACGCCTTGCCATCTCTGAAAGAAGAAACACGAGTGTGATTAAGACATGAAGCAAATCTACTAGACGGATGCTTATACGGGAAACAGGGTAACCATGCATACAAATATGTGCATATCTCAGTATTTAGCTGATCATCTTAAATGATCAAAATCAGAAAATAATCATATGGTTTCTTCCATTATTTGCCATCTGTTATCCTTTACTCTCTGATAATTCATGAAAAGAGGGGCTATAGCCCATGACTAATTTTGAGGGATCCATCATTGTCATACCTCGGTGTCGTTACACCATCATAAACAAATCGTTTCATCTTAACTAAAGGACACAACTCTTAAAGACTATGATATGATGTGCCTGCTAAGGTCAGTGTGCAAATGCGTAGGTCCGGTACAGAGGACATGCCAGAGTTAAAAGGGTTGGATTGTGGAACTAGAGAAGGCAAAGGATAAGATTGACATATGCAGCAAGCAGCAGCTGATGTGAACAACAAGGAGGAAGTTGGTTGGAACTTGGAAGTTAACAACGGGCCAATGAAGAGCGGGAAGTTCTGGGAAAAGCATGGAAGACTTCAGAGGTTTTCTAAGGTAAGTGCTGCCTTCAAGAGGTAAGAGTTTTTTCTTTCTCCCCAAGTTTCTTCCATCTGCTAGTTTTCCAGGATTTCTAAATGCCAGATTTTGTCTTCCGACTTAATTCTATTTTTCATAACTATATTGGCTCTGAATTTTCGCATCATTTCTACTTCGGAATTTGGTCTCTGTCAGTGTGAAATCAGAAAAACCAAATTTTCAGACAATGACAAGTTACCAGACAGATGGAAATTCTTGATGCTTATGCAAGCCCGCCTTATACAGGCATGCTTGGGCACTTCTTAATGCAAAGCAGAACTCTTATATGAGAGAGGAGGAGAGGATTCCTTTAAGAAATCAGAAATCACACAATACTGAGAAACTATGTTTAACACAGATGCCAAGTGCAGAAAGTTATTAAAACAGAGCAAGAAATTACGCATCAATTTGCATGCAGTCAAATTTTCAGTTGAAGGTAAAGGGTTGTATCAATGGTTCCACTTAAAAAGCCATCTAGGGCACATCTTACCTACTGCTTCTTGGTTCCTCTGTGACATTTCTTGATTCACCATCTCATAAAAATGGAGACGTTCCAACAAACGAGCTATTTCAAAGTTTTTAGAAGCTATTTGAGCTTCCATCTCTGACTCCACCTCAGCCCTAGCAATACCCCTCCCAATGGCGTCTGACACAAACCTAGCAACATTAACTTGTTCACAAAGATCTCCCACAGGATCAGAATTCATCTGTTGTCCCTCAGCAACAGATATAATACCAGCAGGAAGGACTATGCCCACATGAGACAACCTTTGTCTGACACTCTCCCATTGGCTTCTCATGCTGTTCAGGGATTCTTCAGCTTGCTTCCGCTTTTCTATCTCCATCAACAGACTCAACCTCATTTCACGCAATTCAGCTTCGGCATTATATGGAGAAGGAGAACTTTGAGGCCCGCCTTCAGATAGTTCTACAAGAAAAGAACCAAGTGAGCTGGTATACAATATCTTAAGACTAAGAATTTCATTGCAAAACTAGTGATTTGCGCTGCCTTCCTTCCCTATCCAATCAAGGCATGCAATATACAATAAGATTAATAAACCCACGCAGAAAAACAAAATACTATCTTATTCACCAAAGCCACTCCTGTAAGCAAAAATTCTGATAAAATTAGACAGTTTAAATCAATAACGAGACAGTCTTATTTCTTATTTCAGCTAATCCAAACACAAGTGCTTGCCCATGTGCATACATGTTCAACTAATAAAGAGGGAAAAAAGGAAGTCAGTGAGGCTAGTCCAATTACCTTCCCAAGCATCAAAAAATTCCCCTTGAGGAGTAGGGGTCTTTACAGAGTGTTCAGCCCCAGTATTATCTTCTCCATCTGTGTTACTAGTGTAACTCATTGAGTCTTGTGGATCAAAGAAGTCTTCACCCTCTGCATCTCTTTCAGAATTATTTGCCACCACCTTTGACATATTACTTTCCTTGAGTGACCTACTTGTATTGCTACTACTTCCAGCTTCCCTGTATCCAGTGCAGAGGTCACCAATAATGATGCTTCTAGGCGCACTGTCATGAAAACCATTAGTTCGCTCCTCCTTGACAGGTTCAGGATGTGAGAAAGTGACTTGCAGGTCACCAGCTGAGCTAACAACCACGGTATCTGATGTCTTTTGTAGACCATCATCCTTTTCATCATCTGCAATTTTCTGCTGTAATACGTTGGCCTCAGAAAAACTCTTGAGAAGCCGTGGCCCTCGGCGTTTGTGATTGACAACGTAAGGAGAAGGTGGGAATGATGAGGGTGAATCTGGAACTGGTGTCACCTCAGGAGTGGCATAGAGGGCTGGTTTTAATGGGGGACGAGAAGCCTTCTTTATTGTGGCAGGCGGCGCGCTGCTTCTCCTCTCCAGCTTTGAGTTGGGAACAGGCATGGACGAAGGGGCAGATTTATCGACTGATTTAGAAGCTCTAGGCTCTATCAATCTATCAAACGCTATTGCAGTAAAGGTCGGCATGGCTGTAAAAGTCAAAAGGTGATACAACTGTAAATATTTTGAAATTGACTGAAGTTACGAGCATTTCCAAGGATTACGAGTACCTCAACCAGGCTAACTAAAACTTCTAACTTGGCATATCACTAAAGCAACAAATATAACAGTACTCTGATAGAGAAGTGGCCATAAAAGCAATAAATGGACACTAAGATGCAGAGTAAGCAAAAATACTTTTCTTTTTCTTCCTCTACCAACTATATATGTCGGGCCACACAAGGCGCGGAAGATTTAAACGTCTCCGTCGAGAAAAAGGCTGGACAGTAAAGATCCAAATATGACCTATTGGGGGTCAATATTGCCGTAAGATATTTAAAATACAGTTGAAATGTTTTCTTTTCAATATCAATAAATTCAGAGAAAAAGCCCGGGGTATTAGAATGAACGTGCGGTCTGCTGCCCCGGACAAATTTCAAACGGTTGCGCAGAATGAGATACTTAGAAAAATGAAAGAGCAGGAGAAAAAGAGATTAACAAACATTGACAAACTTCCGTCGGGAAACGAAGAAAAAGAAATGGAATTTGAACGCAGGCAAGGATTCCGTCCCATTCCAAATCAAAGAAAACAGAGAAGAAATGAAATAGGAAAAAATGAGCCGCCGAGCGCAATGAATGGTGATCGATGCGAAAAATATTTCTTTGGGGAAATAAAAGACACTCACCAAATCGACATGGAAATGGAAATCGATGTCGTTAATGAAGTATCGTGTGCATCGGGGCAATTAAAAAAAAGAAAGCGAAATCAAGCTAGTTGACAAGAGCCGAAAAAATAGAAAACAAAGAAAACGAGAAAGAAAGAGAAATACCTGAGCGGGGGAGGTAAGAAGCAGAAACCCTAATGGTAAACAAGAGAAAGGAAGGAGGACAAGGAGGAAGAAAGAGGAAGCATCATAAATTTGGTGGGCTGTTCCCGCAGCTTCGGAGATATACAAACACAAACACAAACCCACCCTCCCTTCCCCTCCCCCAAGAAACTATCGTCCTTTTATTTTCTCTTTTCGTTAAACAAAAAACAAAAGACAAAATGGGTTAAACTTGAAAAAACTTGAAAGGACCGCCTCTCTCTCTCTCTCTAGATTACGGTCGTAACCCCACCTCCCCCGGTTCGTGCTCACCTGAACACGCGCCTCATTTTCATGTTTTCAACTTTTCATACATTCCCCCACCTTTTGTTTTGCCAACGCATACATTTCCCAATTCATTGACTTACAGTGTAATATGCAAACATTATTTGCGTGGATTTACCTTTCTAATCTAATTATTATCAACTACACAATAATTGTTTAGTAATTGATTAGTTAAAGAAGATCATTTCTCACGCATCCCTCGCAACCCCTCCCAGTGCCTACCTCTCCTCTAATTTTATTTGCTCGCAGCTCTTATTTTCACAATATTGTTGGCAATAGATAGGAAATTAAAGCTTAAGTCGTATTGAACGGTACTGTTTTTAAGAATTATTCTGATATATTAATCTGTTTGCACGATAGTTCCTCAAAATTAAACAAGTTTGTCCTTAAAAATAAGCAAGACAATAAAATAGCAGAAACTAACAAGAATAAACCTAGCATAACACACATAAAGGAGGAGGAAAAAATTGACTTGAAAGCTCAAGAGCTAGGTACTAGACTCATTGGGTTTCTTGGCATCTATAAACAGTAAATGCAAGGTAACTGCACCTCCACTTGGTCTCAACACACAATTAAGGATCAATTTTAGAATTATAAAGCCACACAATGCAATTTAATTAGGGAGTTACTGAACATTGGCACATCAAGACATTTAAAAAATTAGTTGTATCTTTTAAAATTCAAATAACCTCTTGTTAATGGCATTCAAAATGTGATTTAAGGGATTTAAACTTTAAAATGTCAAATTCAAAGATTTTTGGAGAAGCATATGATACAAAATTAAACCCAAAAAAAGAACCTAGTGCCTTTTTGACTTGCGTGTAGAGGGTGAATCGATTGCTTTCAATTATGATTGCCTTACGTGAGCCTATCTCATATGTATTCACACACACACACACACTCTCTCTCTCTCTAGGAGCTTTCCTCATTTGAAAAATGTGATAATAATTACAACGTGCGCGCACAAACACTATAACTATAGGAACTTTCCTCATTTGAAAAACGTGGGTCTTCTCCTCTTTAAAACATTTATAATAATTATAATGATCCCCCATATGTGTCAAAAAAATTACTATTCTTTGAGTTATTCATGTGGAATACAAACATTTCGAATCCAATGTCGTTCGATTATGAACCCTACAATCTCTATTGTTAACAATGGTTTTGCAAGTTATTGACTATACACACGCTTGGTTTTAACAAACGCTTTAGAGATTTTGTCATAATCTTATAAAAGTAGTCCTACTCCACATTTATATATGTGTTTTCATCAAGTATACCTGTAATAAATACACCATCTATAAGGATTATAAAAAATATTAAAAGCTTTAGCTCAACCTCTAATCAATATATTCAAACACTTTTTCAAGTCTTAAGAAGGGACACAAAATTTAGTGCTAGCAAAATTAACAAGTGATTTATCCTCATCCATTGAACTTTTTTTATGGAATATCCAATCACAAAAGTTAAGTTGCCATCACTGTTAATTTCAAATAGCCTTAAGTCATATTCCTATTGACGTTTTAATGATAAATTTCTTTCCCAATAGCTTAATTAATAGATTTGTCAAATTTAACTCTAATTTTACATAATCAATTGAAATTACCTATCTTTGATGCTATCACAGCGTAAAGATATTGATGGTGTAGGCTTTTCACTTATTAGATTACTCACTAAGAAGTTTTTCAATCACTCAACCTGTCTCGTGCATGCAAACTCACCTCTCCTTTAAGTTTATTTACTAGCCTATTTCATTTTTTAAGATATATACACTAAGAGCTTTTCTCATTTGAACAATGTAGGACTTTTCTTTTTAACATACAACAATTACAACAAATATAACATCTACCTGCTTCAACATTCTTATTTTTTATTATCACTCGCACACTCTTGTACTTTCCTTACAAAATCTATGGGAAACATGACAACAGGACACTGTATATTAACTAAGAATTTTAAAGTTCGAGTTTATCAATCATTTTCTTTTATTTCATGTTAATTATTAAATGCAATTTTATTCTATATGGAACAATCAGAGAGAGAGAGTATAGCTTAGGATACAAGCTGTTGGCATGTAGTGTGGTTGAAAAAGCATAAAGAAAGGGAGGGGGGCCAAGTGAAGAGAAGATATTTCCTGTCAACAACTTCGAATGCTCATCTCATCAGTCATCACAGAACCTCCTCTACTTGGAATCCCCCAATTTGCCCCACAAAACTCCTTTTTCATTCTCATAACCTGCTCACGGCCTCAACACATCATCACTCTCGCGTGTTTTGATTTTCACGACTTCTTACATGTCTTCAATTAATTATAAAATAAAGAATAACAAGGTACAAATCGCATTACTTTGGAAGATTCTATATTTGTGGTCACACTGGATTGCCTGTTCGTCAGCCATTGCTGGCTCCTACATTCTCTCTGTTTTTTTTTTTTTTTGTGATGTCATCTACAATTTTCTTATCCTTAACACCAACCTTCCAACTTCACTTTAAATTGACAAGGTTGTGGTGCACGAAAATTACCCCCACTGAAGCTTCCTCAATATCAAATTCTTCTCGCCAAGTACGTTTCCTTTTAACAAAACTCCTGTCGGAATTGATATGTACAAATTAAATAATCTATTTTTACTCGGAAATATACAGTTCACATGCTCTGGTCTTCTTGTGTGGTAGAGTTTTTGTTCTTTTTTTTTTTTGTGAGGTGGGGCGGGGTGGTTGATTCTTGGAGAACCCTTTTTCCACTCGATTCCCATCGCCCATAAAAAGATGGAACAGGGATTGATTCCTCTTCCACGTTGAGAACCTTCCACTTTATTTTATTGTTTCTTTCTTCTTTTTGAACTTCATTGGCGTCTGAACATTGGGGAATCGATTTCGCTAGGCATTATGAGCAAACATGTGTGCTTGAATTTGCAATTGGCACAAATAACTAACAAAAGCTTGTATTAATTAGATACAAGAATCCAAATGCACAGGAGGGACTTTAAAAAAAAAAAAATCAATGGAAGCAATTAAGATTTGTTTCACTTGTAATAGATGACGGGCTTGCTGGAATTCAAGTCCCATATGCCTCCTTCCTTCAAATACTGAAGATACCTGGCGAATTCGGGCCTCGACGTAGGTTTCTTCTTGCGACGAAAATCCATGAAGCTGAACAGAGGATGACTCTTCTCCTTCGAAGCCTTCTTCGTGGGCTGTCTCTTTAAATTGCTAGCGAGCCCACCGCCAAAGGTCGCAACTTTTCTGGATGAAGCAGCCACAGGCAAACTAGTGCTCCTCTTCAGCTCTTGAGGAATCAAAGGGCTAACAGCGCTGGCTTCTTTACCTAATCTCTCATACCTCCCAATTCCATGGCCTCTTCGAGCAGTCAGGGACCTAAACATGGCTTAATCTGCTGAAAGATAGGGTTTTATTCCGACGATTCTCAGATATGTGAGAGTGGAACAAAGAGGGTTGGTGTGGGTTAGATAAGTGGCAGAGGTGGAGGACTGGCTTTACAATTATATGGATGGGACTTCCTTGGGTTAGGTTTGGTACTTTGGTTGGCAGTTGAAGTTTGTCGTATATTTTGAGGATGACGTTTTCAATATTTACTGCGGCTTCCTTCTTTGAATTGGTATGATCCAGGATGCAATTGCTGTGTTGACTTTACGTGCCGGCCCATCCATTTTCGTGGAGTATTATACACAAGAGGCGGCGCAAAAATGATTGTTTACTTGTTTGCCGGACACCATTCTTGATTTTCTCAGTCAAATAATGCACTCTTTGCCCTGTTTCTTCCTTCCTCAAAGCCACTCTTGAAAGATTCAAACCTAGGGTTCAACAGCTTTAATTTGTTTTAATGAGTCACATGATGATATACTATATACTTTTTCCCACGAGCAGATTAAGGAATCTTTTTGGCCGAAAGAATTTAAAATTTTAAAAAAAGTGCTAACATTTTATGAAATAAAAGAATATGACTAAAAGATAATAAATGTTACTAAAAAAAGTTTTAGAAGAATTAAAAGATTTTAACGTGAGAGATAAGAAATCTTAACGGTAGAATAATAACATATAGAAAAAAATCAAATATAGAAATGAATGTTTTAAAACCATTGATTTGTACAATCATAATAAAAATTAAAAAAAATATATCATATAGCTAATAAGGAAATTAAGAAAGCTATGGATGAAACTCGTTACAAAATATTTGAAGAGTTTTATAATAGTTTTAAGATAAAGGATAGAGAATGAAAACTTTATAAAATTGCTAATGATAGGGAAAGAACCTCAAAAGATTTGAAATAGGTAAGATGCATAAAAGACAAAGAGGAACAAGTTTTGATCATCGATGGTGCTATTAAAAATAGATGAGAGACATATTTCTCCAAGTTTTTCAATACCAGAGGGATTCGTCTAATAACTTAGAAAATTTAGTGACTCATGAATGAAACCAAAATTTGTCATTTTTTTAAATCATACGTGATAGTGAGGTAAATGAAGCTCTTAAGACAATAATAAATGATAGAGCTATTGGATTTTATTATATCCCTATTAAAGTGTAAAAATGTTTAGGTGAAAAGGGGTGCGATAGCTAATTAAGTTATTTAATGAAACCTTATAGTCCAAGAAAATGTCAGATAATGGGGGGCGAAGTACCTTAGTTCCTGTTTACAAAACTAAAGGAATATTCAGAATTGTGCTGACTAGAGAGGAATTAGACTTATCATTCACACAATAAATTTGTAAGAAAGAGTAATTAAGTGTGGGTTGAGATTGGAGATTGATATTTCTAAAAATCAGTTTGACTTCATGTTAGGTAGAGTAATTATAGAAGTGATTATTTACTAAGGAGATTGATGAAAAAGTATTGATACAAAGGTAAAGATTAACATGTGATTTTCATTTATTCAAAAAAAGTTTATGACAGCATAATGATAGAAGTATTTTGAAAAGTCTTGAAAAAGAAGGGAGTTCAGGTTGCCTATATTAGAGCTTTATAAGATATGTATGAACAGGTAACAATTAGTATAAGAATGTCTGGCTGTGAAACAAAGGATTTTTTTATAAGGATTAGATTATATCAAGGATCATCTTTAAGTCATTATTTGTGTGACCTAATTCTAAATGTTTTCACTTAGTATATTCAATAAAAAATCCCCAGATGTATACTTTTCATGAATGATATAGTTTTTTATTGCAGAGACAACATAAGTGATTAATGGTAAACTTAAGTTATAAAAGAGAACATTAGAGTTAAAAGGTTTTCGCTTGAATAGGAGTAAGATAGAATATTTATATTGTAATTTTGATAAGAGGTCAGTCAGTGCTAATATAGAAGTGAGATTGGGAGATCAAATTATACTTTAAGTGAAAAATTTAAATATTTGAGAGCTATTATTCAATATGTTGGGAAAATTAATGAGGATATTGCACATAAAATACAAGTTGGGTGGTTTTAATTGGAAAAAGGTTAAAGGAATTACCCGTAATTGTAAGGTATCTAATAAATTTAAAGAAAATTTTTATTAAACTATTATAAGACCAGCTATATTATATGATAGTGAATGTTTGACTTTAATGGAATAGTAAGAACATAAAATTGGAGTAGCATAGAGGAAAATATTGAGATGGATGTACGGGCATCTACGTAAAGATAAAATTTGAAATGATTATATATAAGCAAAAAGTGAATATAGCACCTATTAAGGAGAAAATGATAAAAAATCATTTGAGATAATTTGAATATGTATAAAAAAAGTAGCGAGAGACACCAATAAAGAGATTAGAACCAATAATTTTAAACTCTGTTAAGAGGAGTAGAAGAAGACAAAAAAAATACTTATGAAAATTGTTATTCAAAAACTCTTAGTTAACATTCATAAAAGCTTGATAAATAATAAAATATAATGGCATCGTACAATTTATGTAGTCAATCTCACTCGATGAGATAAGACTTACTGTTGTTGTATGCTTTTTCCCACGAGCATATTAAAATAGAGTCTAATTTAACTAAGATTGTTTCAATTGGAAACATGAACATTTCATGGGTGGAATAAAACAAACACACGCACGCACATAACTGGCATCATTTATTGGATCAGTGTTTAACATTGAAGTAAAAGTTATAATCTTTGGTTAAAATAATAATTACTCTTATTTAATTACACACATCTAACTCATTGGTTACCTTTTAACTACGACTTCTTCTAAGACAATCGAAAAAAATAATGTGAAACCATTTACTATAATTTGTTTTTGATAAATTTGTCAGATGGGGGAAGAGGGGAAGAGGGGAAGCACTGCGCACAAGTGTCACCGACTCCATTTTCCCCCCTCTAGTTCTCTCTGTTTTAGCAAAATTGTAATTATTTTCATGGATTAAAAAAAATTGAAGGTCGTCAGAAAAACAATCTCATCCTGTGTAAGTTCGGATTAGTTTAGATAAATAACGATAATACCCCAAGTTTTTAAAGATGTGATAGAATAAAAAAAATGGAGACACAAGACCATTGTTTTTTTTTTTTTTTACATTCTTTAACCAATACTTTCACTTTTGGCACCAAAAAAAAAATCAGTAAATTCACTTACCATGAGGAAACAAACTGATAGCCCCTCCAACAAGACAACTATGGACAAATTAAATATTGGCAATACTATTTTGTCACTGTTCAGTATACAAGTTACTTTTTAAAAGCATAACTTAATTTACTTTATAAATCATTTGTTAATAGAATTATTTTATTTTAAATTATCCTTAAAAAGTAAGAGAAAGAAAGACAAAAAAATAATATTATATAATTAATTTATGAGGATTATATTTAAAATTTTACTTATTTTTATTTTTTATATTTTTATTTTATTGGTATTGATAAAATTAATAAAAATAATTTATAAATAAAATTGGAGAGAATATAGTATATTTTATAAGGTTCTCACTTCCCAAGTATTCTGCACCTTCCCCACATTGTTTGGTGAGCAGTGAGAAAGTTAGGAGAACATGATATATGCATAACTATGTAGGAAATATCTTCGGAGGTGCCTCAGAGAAGCAACGGCACCTTTAAGATTCTTAGTCAAAATTACAAAAAACACAATCATTATCATTATATTTATCACCCTGTATATATACACATAATATATATATATATATATAATCAAAGGTACTTGTTCACAAGTTGTAAATGGCAGTGTTCATATTCTACGTCTAAAGGCAGTTTCTTCTTTTTCTTCACATCTTTGACTACGCAAGAAACATTGTAGAGTACCTTATTCTGACGTTGTATTGTACCAATAATAACTCCAACACCAAGGCACCAAAGTACGGCTCCTATGGCATCAACATTTACATACTAACCTGCTCATCTATATATGTGACAGATTGTAAAACATTTCAGCCACGGACACTGCAAGATGAAATTACGAGACCAGTTTCGGTGCTCATTACAGTGATGAGCACCATGGTGTTGATCATTGTGGTGAGATACCATTTAAATTTTGATTTGAATGGTTCAAATTTCAAATATTATTATATATTTTTATTTTTATATTTATTAAAATAAAAATATATAAAAATTATAAAATAATTTTAATAAATTTTTTATTTTTAATATGGCCATGATTTAATTTAAAAGGTCCAATTTACTATTAAAATTTTTATAATTAATATATGTTAACTATCTAGATATACTTTATGCAAGCCATATTATAGTTAATCTGACGTATGCAGAATACATTTGAATAGTCAATATATATCAATTATAAAAATTTTAGTATTAAATTCGATCCTCTAAATTAAATTTAGACCATATTAAAAATAAAAAATTATTTTATAATTTTTATATATTTTTATTTTAATAGATATAATATATAATAATATTTAAAATCTAAACCATTTAGATCAAAATTTAAATAGTTCAGATCTCACCACAGTAATGAACACCGAAACTGGTCTCATGAAATTACAGCTAGAGATGTCATGCCACTGATCCTTTCTTACCATACTGTCAGCTTCATGCCCATGCCCTGTCCTCCCACATGCTTCCACACATATCACACTTGTGCCCTCAAAACCACGTCGTCTTCACGTGAAATTCTACCACCGAACCTGGGCGTCAAGGAGCCGACAGGTGAAACCTTTACGTCTCATAAAGCAGTGCCAAAGGAAAACTTCTGTCAAAAATTTCCACTCCAGATGAACCCAGAAATCTACTTTAAGCAAATGTGCCAAGTAATTCATGAATTTTATCAAACTACACGGAAGAGGGCCAAAAAGCATAGTGAGTTACATTACATCGAACGTAAATGACTTCCATTTATTATTAAGACCAGTTTGGTTAAAGAAGAGGTGAGGGGAGAGGGGGAAGGGAAGGGAGGGGAGGGCCCCCCAATTTGGAGGGGAGGCTTTGGAAGGGAGGGGAGGCAAAATTTTAAAAATTTCCTTCCCTCCTAACCAAATAAGGGGAGGAGAGGGGAGTCCCCTCCCCTCCATCCAAACACTCCCTTAGTGTCATGAGCAAATAGGATGAGGACAAGGGAAAAAACGAGTCTATAAAATGATTTTTGCTTTTCCGAGCAATTTCTTCATTTCTCTTCTAAATTTACACCAAAATTACAAGAAATTTAGAGATCTAGATTTCATATTTGTCATCTAACTATTGCCTTTGAATTGCAGAAATTAAATGCCAATGCCGCATGTGTGCTGGCCTTTTCTCCCCTTTACATACAAATATTGAAGACTATATATTACCGAACGTGATCGTAACTATTTATCCAAAAAAAAAAAAAAGGAACGTGATCGTAACTGACGAATAATTGCCGAGATTTGCGTTGAGGAACAGGGCAAGCCTGACAGCGAGTAGAAAACCATCAGAAGCGAAGCTCAAACTCGCATGTAGCGAGGCTACATGCAAGTTTATTCAGCAACACAACACATGCCATGCTATCGCTCTTCAGAATTGAATTTGTTCCAAGCTTCCTGGAGAACCAATTTTTAAAAAATGAGAGAAAGAAAAATAATACTAAATGGAAAGAAATCTATAATCCTACTTGATATTCTCATGTGACACATCATCTCCACCGTACAATTTTCTTGCAAATGACATGGCACTATATAGGCCAGACTAGCCAAGTAATCAGGGAAACACGGTTCCAGATGAATGAAACTGAATGACCTATTCACACTTTAGTTTGGGAGGCACACGTGTTTGTGCATCTACCTGCACTAAGGTCGCCCAGAGACAAATGTGTCTTGTGAAGTGCAGGTGCACCCAGTTTCAACCAATAAAGGCCATGGCATTATGAATTATTCCATCACATCAAACAAAAGTGTTGACTTAAAAGAGAGACATGTATATTAAAGTTTGGCCAGGAAAATTGCTCCTTTTTGGTTTAAGTGTAAGATTATTAACATTTTTTTACGTATGAAAAGTTTAGGCAAATTAGGTCTTGTATGTTCATTAGAATCATCACAGACCTCATAATTTATAGAACACTTTTAGACATACTTACAAATCACTTATCAATAAGCTCATTATATCAATATAGGGTTTAAACCTGTGCCTTTGTTGTGTATAAAAGCCAACTCTTGGTCATCTTGGCTAACTTTGTTTGGCTTTAACATTTTTGTTTTCGGTGAATGCTTATTGAGTAATTAAAAAGTGTCAAGTGTGGTAGTCTTCTACTAAATAGGTAGACAAAGTCAACGTAGGATGTTTGGGAGAAGCCAAACGAGTTAAGGTGGCGTGCAACAAACCTTAAGAAGATCAAAGACCTTTTCACATATATATTTGTGTTGAATACTTGCTCCACGCTGCTGTAATTTGTCAGGATGAACACACAAGGTGGCCTTCCTGTATGCCTTCTTTACAGCAGCAGATGTAATGACCTCCGTCAATGGAATAGGCTGCCATCCACTATCAGGCCCAAGAATCTGACGGGGTAAAAAGATCAGAAAATGAAATATAGATAAAGCCCAATTTTAAGTCTAAGTCAAATTTTTGGGAGATGAGTGTTAGGCAGGTCATAATTCAAGTATCAAACAGAAACAGTCAAGAGAAAATAGGAGTTAAGAGAATATTTGGGGAAAATGATACAATAGACTTATAAACATAATCTCCACACACTTCACCCAACAGCGTGTTCTTGTGTAAAAAAGAGGTTTGGGTGAGGAAGAGCAAGAAGCACAGGCAGTTATTTAGAATATTGACACCTACATATTGCAAGGTTGATAGCAGGGCACGTAAATTTCCTTCTTTCCCACTTGACCACCTTCTAACCTCAGCATCCAGAGTCTCTGCTAATCTCTGCAAACAGCATGGAAAACAAATAATCAGTGAAAAATGGAAACAGTTTAGAACCTCTAGCCTTCATTTGAAAATGATGAAGAAAGTGAGCAAATGAGAGGGAAAAGAGATGATCGGATAACTTGAGGGAGTACCAAATAATCATCGATATCAATATATCTATAAAAGTTGTAGACAGCTGCAATGTTCATGAGGCATGTATGCAATATCTTCAGCTCCATGCATATGCACGGGGCCCATTCTAGTTTTATGCTCTTTTTTGTATGTGAAGACTAATTTAAGAAGAATTTGGATGAAATATTCTCATTTTAATTCCTTTTAAAATCATTTTCTCCCTTCTACACAAATTGTTAACAGGCAATCTGTGGGTACATATACTTACGTTTCTCTCAGCCTGCTCCTTCTGAGCCAGAAGGTCGCGCATGTTCTTTTCTTCCAAAGCTCTTGCCTAAAAAATCCAGAAAAATCAGTATGTAACATCTTACATCTAGAAAATCTATGTGTGCTTCCTATCAAAATAATGAAAATCTTACTGCACGTTCAGCTGTGCGACGATATCTCTCCAGTCTAGCTCTACACCTCTCCGCCGATTCTCCTTCTCCTCCTTCAGATCTTTCAGAAAAAGAGCAAGCTTCAAACATATAACAGCCATGATGATCGTATCAGGCAGGGTAACAAAATATGCAAAATGTTGAATGAATTTATACTGGAAATAATACAGGGAAAGCACATATCAAATTTTACCATGCACTGAAGAATATGGATGTCTGGAACCAGCAGAAGAACTGAAATTCTGAAACTGGGAGTCTTGCATATCCTGTCATTTAACTGATTATAAACTATGCAGGAGATTATACATTTAATCACCAGTAGAATTATCTGGACACTTACAGAAGATGAAAACCCTTGTCTCCCACCACTTCTGAAAGAAGTGGCAAAGTTGTCAGATACAGATCTCTCTAACCTTTCCCTGGACTCAAAAGCAGCTCTCTCAGCCTTGGCTTTTTCCATGGCACGCTCTCGAGCCTCTGCAGTTGCTCTTTCTACAGCTGCACGTTCTGCTTTCAATCTGGCCTCTGTATTTGCCTTGTTATCCCTGGCATCAGCACAAGCCTTCTCAAGTCTTTCACGGGCCTCAGTCAGGGCTCTTTGTCTAGCTTCAGCAGATGCTCTCTCAAATGCCGCCCTTTCTGCTTTCTCACGAGCTTCAGCAATTGCTCTGTCAGGAGCCTGAAGAGTTGCTCTATCAACAGCCATCCTATCCTTTTCTCTTTCCCTCTCCCTCTCAGCCTCTAGCATTGCTTTATCAACAGCCATTCTGTCCTTTTCTCTTTCCCTTTCTCTCTGCCTTTCCTCGTCTATCTTTCTAAGACATTCTTTCTCCAATTCTTTTTCTCTTCTCATCCTTTCAGCATCTCTCTCTTCTGATACCAGAGTTTCATTGGTATTCTCCTTTCTTTCTGCGGATTGACCTACATGAAACTGTGAGGTACTTTTCTCATTTCCCACCTCAAGCATTATAGCAGATTTAGCTGCTTCTGAGTCCCTTCCTTCTCGATCCCACAGGTTCGGATAACTTGATGACACTTTGTCGTTGCTTTCTTCCTGGTCCAGGGCAATTTTTACATGCTGCTTGTTCTTTCTTCTCTCATTCGATTCATGACCAAATTTCCTGTCCAGATTTCTGGGATTAATATCTTGGTCGGGGGCTGTTTTAATTTTCTCTACACCTGTTTCTTGACTACCAAAGTCATTGTCATCATCATTCGTCATACAGTCATCCACTTTTCCTGATTGGGTCCCTATGTGCTCAGCATCCCCAGGGCTCATTTCAGGTTCTATACTCTTTTTATTAGCCATTAGATTTTCCATTCTTACCTCTTCAAATTTCTTTTCACTAACTTTGCATTCAGTTTCTGTCCTCCCAATTACATGGCCAGCAAGGCATTGCTGCAATTCCTCCAGTTGTTGAATACTTTCTTCATGATTGGAAGCTGATTGAGCTGCAAGATGATTTGGATCACACCCTGTTTTCAATATCTCATCAATTTCTTCAGCAAACTTCATTATTTCCCCATCTTCATTCCCCTCTGGTTGCTCCAAACTTTTGCCCAATTCCTTATCTCTTTCTTCCCCATCCAAACTCTTAAGCACTCTCTTAGAATGCTCCTGATGGCTATCCTCGTTTGATATGGCTCCACTTCCTTCCCTGTTGAACTCCCAGTTTGATGGACTCTCAATTTCTTCTTTCCTCTGGGCCTCTTTCAATATTCTACCGTTCATATCTTGCTCTACACCTTGATTCAGAACATTTTGAACGCCTTTGATGTCATCTGCTTCTTTAAGTCCGCTTTCAATTTCACATCCATCACAAGCCTCACATGCCTCTACAAATGTCTTTTTATTGCGAATTCTTTCATATGATTCCTTCACTCTCTTGTCATCTTTTCCCTGCTCCACAGTCTCTTCCAGCCTTATCTCATTCAGTTCTAGATCAGAGGCCTCTTCCAGTTCTTTTCCATTATTTTCATCAAGTGCCTGTTTTGGGCCCTCTTCACCTTCTTTTCTAGAAGCATCTTTTAAGATATTCTCATTTTCTTCTCTTTCATGAGCCTTTTTTTGTTCCTTATGCTGAACCAGTTCAGTTTGCTTTAAACTCTTCTCATTTTCTCTTTGAGAAGACTCTTTTCTCCTTATATCCTCAACAACAGTGTCATTTAATTCTCCATCATTCTCTTCCATCTCCATAGACTTGATCTGTTTTTTGTCACCCTCTTCTTTCCCAAGAACAAAAGCTTTTCTTTCTCTTCCACAATTTTCCTTCATTTTCCCAGTCTGCTTGTGCTTCTTGACATTATCCCTTTGTTTGTCCACCTCTTGTAATTTCTTCTCATTTTCCTCAAGTCTCATAACCTGACGAACCTCATCAAATCTATCAACCTCTTTTGACTTCTCACCTTTCACTTGTTGGACTTCCCTATGCTGAGCCTGAGACGTATACTCTGAGTTTCTTGGTTGATCAACATCAGTTAATTTCTTTTCAGTTTTTCCATGCTGGTGAGTGATTCTTACATTTTCATTCTCCTCCTGCTCAGAGAACTTTCTCACTTTCCCCTTCCTCATGCACTCTTTTTGCTTGCGATCTTCAAGAGAAGCTTTAGACCTAACAATTTTATCAAGTTCATAAGCCTCTTTTGCAGCTTTAAACTTTTTCTTGTATTCATCAAGCTGAGATTTCTCTTCAATTGCTTTTACCATTTTACTCTCATCTTGCAGGTTAGCCTCCCATTCATGCTGACGGATTCTAACATCTTGTGCTAAACTCTTGGAATGATTTACCGACTGAAAAACATAGGGAGATTCTTCTTTGCCCACCAACTCAAAAAAGTCAGTTTCTTCCTTCCATGTTCCAGCTCCAGTACTTCTATCAGACTCTTGAGATGATCTGGATCCATTAATGTGCTTTTCCTCCATAGATTTTTCAGACTTATGCAGAGTTCTATCCTTTACCAATGAATCTGGAGTTTCAACGAAAACTTTCATAGTTTTCTGCCTTTCATCTGTGACAGGAATCTTCATTTTGCTATGTCTCCTTTCAGAAGTTCCCTGTATCCTCTCATCTTTCAAACTACTCGATCTACCCATATTCCTGCTTCCTTCATTGTTTTTCACACCATAACTAGTTTTGACACAGCGTTCAAAATCCCCCTTCTTTCTCTCCTTCAATTCTTTGGCACTTCTAAGTTTTGCTTCAACTCTATGCACTGCTTCTTTCATAGTAGCAGCGGAAGCTACTGCAGATGAATTCATATCAACTTCTACATCAAAGAAAGGCGGTGAGCTGTCACCTGGAATCCCTCCAGGGGCAACCTGCTCAGAGTTCAAATGAAAATCACAAATGTCCCCTTTCTTCGCATCTAGTAAGGGTGGTGGCCGAGAAGGGGGTGGCACTTGAGAGGGCTGAGTCCTAAGGTTAATGTCAGATACAGTTATGAATGTCTCCCTGGAAAGAGAGCCACTTCCACCATGTTCATTATGCAATGTAAGATCATCAACAAAAGTCTGTCTGCCAGAAATACGATTAGGTGGGTGTGGAATTGTTTTCCCAAGATGGTTTTCCCTGTCCTTTCCAGTGGTAAGGTCTACATCAAGATTTATATCATCAGGGAATTGCATAGAAGGATCAATGCTATGCATAGAGGTAGCTTCATTAAACACTACAGTGAATCCATGAACAGGTTGCAGCTCAGTGATGTGTGTTTTCCTCTTCAAAATACCTCCATCACCCGTTCCATCAACCCTATGGTAAGAAATGTTGAACTCTGCATCACCATCAACAGAGTGGTAACCATCTCCCCTTGATATGCTCTGATTATTTCCAGAATGATCTGACTCTCCCGAAATTGAATCAGTTTCTTCCGGAGTCCTATAGAAGATAAAAGAAGACGAAATGACACAGCGTCATATCTCAATTACACAAGGCTAAATGACTCATAAATAAGAGAAAAGATAGAAATAGAAGACACCTCTTATTGATTGTGCCAGTTCTTTGGTGAAATAAAAACAAAAGAACGTATTAACCTCTGAAGATACAAGGAGTCCAAAGCTCATATTAAATTCTGAAAAGGGTCACTAGTTAATCTAAAAGACTCTAATTATCCTTCTTGGTTAAGGGGGGAACGCAAAACTAAAACCAGAAATTACAAAGTTGTCCACTTTGCTGTTCAGACTAGTTGAACCACTATAATGGCACATGAACTAGCAAGCACCATGGTTCCACAAGGAGCTATGAGCCGGCACAATATTTTACTTCTTATCAATGGTACACTAACATCAGTCCAAACACCTCAACCTACAAGATCGATCCTCATAGTTTGACCCGACATTCCAGGAAAGCCATAATACCGATGTCGGACTTTAGAAATAACTCGTTTTCCACCGTGACAAAAACAAAGGCAAAACCAATTTACGAATGGGTCACTCACTTCATCGAATATTAGAGACAAAAATGGAATCCTCGAGCAGAGCGTAAAATAGGATCGCATTCATACCAGGCTTCTTCAGAGGAAACACCATCCCGACCGTTGGGCTGGTGAAATAGGTCCTCGTAGGAGACCGCAAAATCCAGACCGTTGAAACCTCCAAAAACTTCACCGTAGTCGAAGGCGGTGCTGCGGACATCGAAGAATACCTCGTTTTCATCAACCAGCGGAAGATCCAGAATCGGTATAGAAGACGTGCGTGCAGTGTGAAAACTTCCGAAAATCTCACCGTAGTCTTCGAAACGAGGGGAGAGGCTGTTAACTCCGAACTTGGGAGGACCTCCGTAGACGTCGTCGTACATACCTTTAGCAGGCAAGCCACCATGATTGCCATTGCTTTTCTTGGAAAACGCAGCAGACACCTTGTTTGGCTGCCGAGAATGCGCTACACTCTCCATCAAAATGCAGCTTCGTTAGGGTTTCTTCTCGATAGTTCCGTCGAGTATCGTGTTTTCTTCTCTCTCTCTCTCTCTCTCTCCCCCCCTCTCCTTCTGCCTCTGTGAGTGACTGGGGAGCGTCAGAGCAGGAGGACGACGAAAGAAAGAAAATCACGAGAAGGGAAATATTGAAAATCGAAAAAAGATAGGACGCGAAATGACAAAATAGGACCGATATAATTGGCGCTAATGCTTCATTCGTTTTATTAAATGTTTCGGCAAATAAAAAGCGATGCTTCTCCGACTTCTTCCTCTCTTTTTTCTCCCCGGTGTCCCGAAAAGTTGTCTTCTGTGTTCAAAATAAAATTAATTAATATCAAGCAGGCATAGCACAAGTGAGGGGCCATCCAGGTCCATGTGACCAGGATTTGATTCTATGAATGAGTATTTATTGAGGGCGGTCAGCTTCTTAAATGAAATTCTTGAAAGATTAGTCTTGTAACACTTGTGAGAAATTCAAAAATTAAAAATATAATTATTTAATTAGTACTCTATTGGTTATTTAAAAAGGGAGGATGACAGGTGTAGCCGGTAGCCCGTGCGGACGCGGGATCGAGAAAGAGTTGTTAACGTTTTTGGATCGGTTTGGGTTTGAAGGACATGGTAGACTTTGATTGTTTTTTTTTTTTTTTGTACTTCTTCTTTCAAACAACATGTTTATTCAGCAAGGATCGACTTTGTAACAGGCCAAGTAGCATTGTTTTAGCGTGTTTCTTTTAGTAAGGAAAAAAAAACAAAAGGAAGTAAAAAAAAAAACAGATTTGGTTATTTTTTCGTTTGGATAAAACATGAAGACAAAACAACTACAAGACCCATTAAAAACAGATTTAGTTATTTAATATGTATTTTTACATGCGTTCACTATTTAATTAATACACAGCAATACGTTTTGTCGGAAGCAAATGGGGTTACTCATTTTTTGTTTTTTTGTTTAGTTGCGCGCGTTTGCGTATATAGAAAGGATGACAACAGACGCACATACGCCTGTAAGTTACGCATTATTCACTTCATGAAATTTGTCGAGGTGTCCCTTGAGAAGGTGAAATGAGAAATTGCAAGCATTTGCCTTTTTTTTTTTTAAATATATGTTTGTCTGCGAACAACAAAGTACTAAATGTATCTTGAGTTTCAATTGATAATATAAGAATCACGGACTTTCTCACTACAATTCACCTGAATATAAAAAATATACAAGACTTTATAAAATAAATGTTTTTTATTATTATTGAAATGTAAAAAAATTACAAATATAAACTGAAAATAAAGTTAACTAATAAACTTACAAGCTATAGGTGTAGAATGCAAGTCTTTTGAGTGTTGGCATTTTTTCTTCTGTGTTTTGATATTCTATTTATAGTGATAGAATGATGGTAGCCTCTTTTTTAAGACTTAGAATGTCTTACTAAAGAATCAGAGATCCTTCAAAACTCATGACATAGTCTTTACTAAACGTCTTCCATTTTTAACAAATAACTCATCTCATTAAAATGTTTGGGCACGATGATGTTGCTCCCACTGATTCTGAAATCATTTGAGATCATGTTTTCATATACAAACGGTCCAAGATTTGCAATTAATAGGATTTCAGCATGCTTATCCTATCGTGGCTTTCTATTAAGGTCAATATCAGTTCCTCTGTTCAGATTATTGATTGGGTCTGACTTTTCAATCACTCGACTCAAATAGCTTTATAATCTATTCAATATTTTGAATGACATTTCATATTTTAACCCAAATAAATATATATACTGAATAAACCTTTCGTCTACTCCAGCGCGTATCTGGTTAAAAAATTGTATGCTCACTGGCTTTATTAAAATGGGAAGGCGATAAACACAACAAGAGCGATCCTTTTAGCTAGGTGTGTGAGTGTATTTTAATCTATACCTTTTTTAAAATCCAAATCTAACGGGTTTAAATATCTGACCGTTGTTATCTTTCGACAATTTCAAGGATCACCCCACTGGACGATATAAGACACGCTCGCGATCTCTCTCTCTGTTTTTTTTTTTTTTTTTATCACATGTGTGATATCAGATATGTTAATAACTGGAAATATTTTTTTTTATAAGTGCAACAAATTTTAAAGCGAGCTATTTAATTCGTGACTTGTAAGTTGGGAATGGTGAGAATTTGATTAAGTATATTGATAAAATAACTGTATTTTAATCCAGGATATTTAATTTGATCCTCAATCAATTTCGAATGTAATTTTGGACAACACCGTGCTTGGCAAACCCCAAAAATAAAAAAAAAAAAAGAGAGAGAGAGAGAGAGAAAGAAAGTGAAAGGAGGTGGAAGGAGTGGAGGATGATTAATGGGGGCTGGTTTTGTTTGGAGAAAGTGTGTGGCGCAAAGCTGTGGATGAATTAGGATGATGTGATGCGATGTGAAGGCAGAAATATAGGAATAATAATTGGGGAGGGCATGATTGGAGGGACAAAATTGGGAGCACAGTTGTGATTCTCGGAACCTGGTGCACCCACGTTTCTCCTCCCAATCATTCATTGCAAATTAATAAATTAAATAATAAAAGCAGGGAGGAATATGAATTTGAGCTGATTAAAGTTAGATTCAAGTGTGAGTTTGAACGGTGGAAACAGATAAAGGAATGGATGGGAAATTGAAGTTGTTATGATTCTTGACAATAACCACTCTTATAGGTTGTAATTAAGGCGGGACAGCACAGTAGTCATGAGAGGATGAGGGAGAGAATTAAAAAGAGTAGGTGGAAGGAGGGGGGCTGGGTTAGAATGACATGCATGCACGTCTTTCCTTTTCCATTCTTTAAATACCTACGTTAACCATACATACATACATACATACATGTTATTTTCATGACGTTGACGCGTGTGCCAGAAAGAGCGAGATCACAATATTGGATTATTGGTTCCCTTCCCTCCGTGTTCTTTTTTTTTTTTTAAACAGTGAGATCAATGTTTGGAGTTTTTTGGACAGTGCGTGAAATTCAAACTAATAAAATTTAGACTAAACTAACAGTTTAAAACTGTAGCAAGAAATTACAAGACAAGAGAAAGAGAGAGAGAATGCGGAGGAAAAAGGAAAGAACGTCGGTGGAGGAGATGATCGGGGAATGAGTAATATCACAGGAAGGGGGCCACGTAGGATGCGGATGATGAAGAGCCGTCTCTTCCTGCATTGACTTGGATGGACGGACATGCGTGTATGCCTAGGTGAATGAAGCTGCGCCTCTTCATTTTATGTTTATATCCACTCATTGCCTAATTATTCAATTCATCCCTCTTCCGTCCTCTCACACCATAATATAAATGGCTTCAACAATTAAACCCCCTCTCACATGTTCCGTTTATATTGATTAACCTTTAGTTTGTTGGCTAAAGAGAAGCCCCTGATTTGCAAAATGGAAGAAGAATAAGGGGTCGTAATAAAAGTAAGTGGGGGATGCAGAATAAGAACAGAGAAAGGCAGTTAATGGGAGGGTGAGAGAGAGAGAGAGAGACTGGGAATCTGACCGGGAGATAGACAGCGAAACATGAAACAGCCGAACAAGAATGAGAAAAGAAGGTTAAAACGGAGGAGGGCATCTTCTTTTGGGGGCTTTGGGTAGCGTTTGTCCCCGTACAGCCCGCCATCCGTCAAATCTCATACTGAAAAAGAAAGCATGCGAGGACGGTTTGGTAATTTAGGAGGAAGATTTGAATGGAAGCAATGGTGGAAGGGAGGACCTTGCAGAAGCCTCTCTCCAGTCATCAAACGGCGGTGGGGGCTATCGGGAGTGGGACCCTCTTGTCTGCCACTTTATTCACTCATCATTCCTCCTCCCCTCACCGCCCTCGACGCTTTTTTTTTTTTTTTTTAATTTCACACACACACACACACACACACATATATATATATATCTGATTTATTTCCTTCAATTTGTTTGAGAGCACAAAATCCGTTGTCGTCCAGGGGACAGGATGTCTGGCTTTCACCCAGGAGACCCGGGTTGGAGTCCCGGCAACGGAAATATTCTTTTCAGGAAATTAATCTTTAAGCCGCTGGTAAATTTCTGTTTACAAACGATTCTTAACCTTAATCGATCATCCACTGTTTTGGCTTCTTTTTTTTCACCTCCGCAAACGAATAATATAATCATCTTCATCAAGAGTATCTAGATATTTAGAAAGTATCAAATTGATAGACATCAAACTTAAAATGTTTCCTAATACCTATTTCACATTCGTTAATTGTTATTATTTGGCCCTCAAACATTTACACGATCACAGACAAAACTAATTGTTATTTAAAACTTAAGATATAGATTAACCTATGCCAATTTAAAATGAATAAAATAATTCAATTTTCAAAGTTTATTGATTTAAATAACATAATAGTAAAATTCCCCGTTGGCTCCAATGTCCTACGTTATCTTTTTGGAAAAGGAAATTTTGATCCAAATTAATTTATTAATGTGATAACCAAGAATTTGGATTCAACGAGTAGGTTAAATCCACTTACTAAATAAATATCTCATATAGCACAATAATAATTAATCAATTTAATCAAACAGTTATCAAAAAATTTATTCTATAATACTCATAAAGTACCAAATCTCAAATTGTTGAAGGGAACTAACATACATAAAAAGTACTTAGAATTGTTTTAATTTTTTAGATAAAAATATATGTTCATAATTTTTAAATATTAACAAAATCTAGTAGTTGTAATTAAAACACTCATTGAATAAATTAACTTACACTATTCACCAAATCTAAATCCAATAATAAAAGGTCATTATGTCAAGGAAAACGCAGAATCATTCATGTGATCATCAATCATAACCTGCAATTAGCAGGCCTGCTTGGCCTGAGCTAGCAATAAAGGGTAAGCTATAATTAGCATCATTTTGCCGTTACTCTTGGATCCTAAACAAGAATAAGAGTCGGGTATCCCCCCACTCTTTGAAGCTCACATCACATGTTTTTTCCTTCCCTGGTAACATGCAAAGGAGCTCTTATCCACTTAAGACATTCTGCTATTTCAAAGCCTCATAAGTTTGTCACAAAAACAAAAAAGCCCAAGTTCGATGCCTGTGTGTCCACAAGTAGCCGAAGGCCACCATGGCCATGGGTATCCCAATTTTAAAAAGTCTCTAACCGACAAGTTCTGCCCAAGGACAATAAGATATCGCGAAAAACAATTACAGAAGCTTTAGAATTCAGAAGCTTGTTTTTGCCAGAAACCGAGCAGAACATAATACATACTGTCAAAACAGCATAATATCCGACAACGGTATCAGAAAGTTCAACCTTTTTCGCATTCACATAATACTTCAAGTCATATCTTGCCTGATCAGTTTCTGAACAGCTCACTGCCTCAAGCTTTCGACTATGTAAGCGGCGTACAGGTCCCTGCACCACGTCAAAGTAAAAGCTCTAAATAAAGCACAAGATCACCTTGGAAAAATGTAATCAATATCGGTAAATATGATTTGAAACAAAGCACGGAAAATTGGTGGCAGGGATGGAGATGATGTTTATGTTAGTGCAAAGGTTGGCAACTAACATGGAATACTTGATGGCATCAATAGCAGCATCAGAAGGAAGAAAATCTTCAACATCAACCTTTTTGTTCTCGTTTTTCTTGTCTAACGTGGTAGGCTAAGGATATACAACATATCAGCGGTAAGGACTCAATAGAATTAGGTGAAAAACTTTTGCATCAATGGCACAAGCATTTAGTTCACTCAAAAGAAAAAAAAGGGGTTGCAATTTAGTGCACATCTCAGAAGTGTAGGAGAGCTACGTGAATTGTGTTGAAATATCCAAACTCTTTGAGATGCAAAACTAATCAACAACGGGTATAATGATCAATGATCACAGAGGCACATGCAAATGTGCGTGCTAAATGCAAAACAGGATACAGTCTTCAAAAAATCGCCTGATTTCAGCGAGCCGATGTGGAGGAAGTTCCTTGATGTCCTTGTAATGGCGAAATTCAGGGTCATCAGCACAAACTGCTATGATTTTGTCATCCTTTTCTCCCTGCACCAGAATTCAAGCAACATGTCAACAATTTTCCTCCAATCTAAATTTATTAGATTTATCACAGGGAAAATGATTCATAGCAAAATTCTCAAAGCTAGCTAAGACATGAAAAGCCCAAAAAATGCTCAGTTAACCAGCAGAGAGGCAACCAATTGGCCAGAAAAATATATAAATCTAGATTGAAGACTTATTAGGCAGACCAGTTCTGTTGTTCACAGACCCTCAGATGGTTCTTTTGCATTTCCCTTGTAATAGAATGAAGCACAGATAATATCTTGGTAGTAGAGACTAATCTTCACCTGATCAATCATGGGCATCAGTCCAATAGCACGAGCACGAAGGAAGGAACCGGGCACCACTGGCTCCTGTTTAAGACATAATAATTTTTATTTTTATTTTTATTTTTTTTGGGGGGGGGTTAAAAACAGGTATCTGTGTTAAAAATAACGAACAAACTTTTAAGCAAGGCTACCTGCATTAGTATCAAGACATCCATAGGATCACTGTCTTCACAAATTGTTCTTGGAATGAATCCATAATTGTGTGGGTAGACAACTGATGAGTAAAGAACACGATCAACCTATATCATCCCATTCACAGATATAAAGTTGCAAGACAAATTTTTTGACAACCAGAAACAACACAATTATTGAAATGGAACAAAGTAAACTTTTACCTTCACTATATCTGAGTCATATTTTTTTTTTAAATGGCAAGTATAAAATTAATTTAGCCAACAAAAATTTTGCATAAATAACTAATAAGTAGGAACAATAACAGCAAAATAACAAATCTGAAGCCAACACTAGGCTTAATTCAACTATCATCTATGATGCTCTACGTGCCTATCAAATGCACATTCCTCATTAGTAACCTAAACAGCAACACTAAAAATCTTGTTAGTGAAAGTCCAAACATCTTAAGATGTGATATGAAAAATATTCTTCGGAATGCCTTAAAAGTCAGTGACATTCAAGCATCTAAAAATTGGCTAAATCCCAGCAACTTGTGTAAAAATTGTAATGAGAGTACAATTACCTTCAGACAACCTTTTCCATTGTTATGCCCAATAATGGTGTCATGGTAATGGAATAAACTGAATTCAATAACTGAACTGAAAGGTTTGGGAATTCTGTAAAGGGTAAGAGAAGCCACACCTTTATAAGTCCACTTGTCTTGTCCAGCTCATACTTAACCTTGCTGCCTTTGCCAATTTCAACAACCTGCCATTGAAGTTCATGTTTCAATTTGGGTGCTCTCAGAAAATGGAAAAATGCCAAAGCAGACCAATCAACGTTGCTAATAGAAGCTATCATTGGCCAAAATAAGAAAGCCAGACATTCATTCACAACTTACACAGTTGAAAACTGATGGAGCTCCAGGACCTGTGTAGAAGCAACTGAAACTTTTAGACAAGGAGTGCTAGATCTATACGTTTAATTCTATTTAAAATAGAATTAGAAAACTTCCATGCTAGAAATGATAATTAAATAGCAACAACTGACAACAAAGCCATAATAGTACTATACCAATCTCTAAATCATGCCAGGGATGAGCAGCAACAGTTCTCCAAGACATCGAAGAAAGTATTCTTTCGTTGAGCGCAGTATGAGAAAATCCCGAATTCCTTCCACTTGCTTCTCCATTGTGCGCCATGTTGACTTGAGGAAGAAATGAACGATATAAACATAAAAAAAATCACCCTATCATCCTAAAGCATCACGTTTCATTGCCATGAAAACAACAGTGGAGACGCCACTTCAGTTTACGATATTAATTACTAACAGAACTACGTTGTTTCTCCTAGCAAAAATGTAAAATGAGTTTAAGACAGTTGATAAGAGATATTTTGACATAAACAGTACAAGTTGTGAGATAAAAACGATACGCACGCGAAGACATTCTGTACGAAGGAAACTTCACTTTAAATAATAGAATATCTGAGAAATCAACGAAGCAGATAGAAGAACAACCTAGGATAATCAAGAATCATCGGCAGCAATCATTAAATACATGCAGGACAATAATCCAAAATGACAGTAAAATCACCATCACTTGCTTTTGAAGGGAAAATGTTACGATTCCACGCACGCCAAGACGAAAAAATCAGAAGAAATCAAGAGAAGAATAAGTGAAAAAGAGATAACGAAGGCTTACTGCAAACCGGATTCCGACTCTTGCGCGGTGAGAGAAAAAAGGTTTCGTTTTCAGGCGCACCACATTGATGGTTGTGTACAAAGACGAAGAAGATGGGATATAACACGTGTGGGAGCACTGATCGTCGGATGATAACAGATTCGAATCGGATGGTGGAGTGAAATTAACATATCCTGGGGGAAGCGTAGGAGGGGCGAAGGATGTTGGGAGGGTCATGCGAAGTCCAACTGCACAGTGAGCGGAAATCTCACAGAGGCGCCTAAGTATTCGTGGTCCACGTTGAACCTCTCAGAACAGGTCACGTGTGCTGTTTAATTAATTCGATTACATGGCACTCTAGTTTGCATGATGGGATTTAAATAATTCAAATTTAATATATTATTATATATTATATTTATTAAAATAAAAATTTTATAAATATTAATATAGAATAATTTTAATATTTTTTTATTTTTAATCTCATCTATATATAATTTAAAAATTTTATTTTAATATTAAAATTTTTATAAATAATATATATTAATTATTTAGATGTATTTTAATTTTTGGAATGAGTAGGAAAATAATTTCATTACTTAACCCACCTGGAATTGCCTACCAACTAGGAAGGCATTAGGCACGTGCCACATCTTGAGCTCTGCTAATAAATATTACTCGCTTGACCAGAATTTTGGCACACGGAAGAAAATGGATGGTATTATTCATCATTTTTATGAATAGAGATGTGATTGATGGGAAAAAAATAGAGATGTGATTATATAGTAAGTTTAGTATTAGAGAGAGATGTGATTCATTCAACCAAAAACGAAATGGATTGTATCATTCATTTGCTGTGTTCATGGGACAGGATAAGAAATTATTTCCTGTTCCAAATAATAATGAGATTGAATTTTTATTTTATGTCTCTTACTATTTTAAAAATTATCTAAGTAAAATTGATAAAATATGAAAGAGAGACTTAAATAATAATATTTATTAAATCACATAATTTATTAAAATAAAAATAAAAATAATATGAATACATAAATTTAATCATATTGAATTACAACAACTAGAATTCAAAGTAATATAATATAATCCCAACTTAAAATCAAGTACATAATAATTATAAATAATTGTAGATTACAAGTATAATAATGATAGAATTATTGAGCCACGAAACTCATATCCTTTTATTATGAGAATTGCTTTTTATGAAGGTGAAAGTAAAAATAAAAATATAAATATAAATTAAAAATAAGTTCGTTAAAGAGGGGAAATAAAAATTTTACTTTACATATATATATATTTGAAAAGATTATAATATCCGTGAAATTAAAAATATAGACAAATGAATCATGATCACCAAGCTCGGAACCACCGTCGTCCACCATATTTAGAACAGCCATCAACCACCTCCATGTGATCATCACCGCCACTGGAAATTGATTAGAAATCAAACACAAGAAAATAATCAATACAAAGGACAGGAGACCCCTATTGTCGGTGTAAGCTTTTCTTGCGAGAAGAAGGTATTTGTTGCCGCCATTGGAACAATTGAAAATGGCGACCATGAATTTTTGCAAGATAAAATACTCATGACAAGGAATGAGACTGCAGGGGAGAATCTGAAGGGAGGCGTACCGGCGATTGTTACTCTCCATCCAATGGTGGGTCATCGCAGGGAGTGAGGTTCGGCCATCGTCTCAGGAGATGAGGTCTTCACCTATCCAGTCACGGCAGTCATCGTCATCGCCATCGCCGGTTTGGTCCCGCGTCATCAAAGGCTGGCTCCAAAATGGAAGGTTGGATGCTTGACGGTAAAATTGAGAAAATTTGAAAAAGAAGTGGTGGAGGAAATGAGTTGTTTGGATATAGGGATGAAACTCTTTTCCGTCATTTTTTTTTATGGAATCGTGTGTTTCATGAAGAAGTAGATCTTATTTATTAAATATATTTTTTTTAATTTCAATTTTACTTTTTTCAAACTCAATTCTACCGTACCAAACATATCATTAAATAAGCTAGCCAAATATAACATCAAGCCTTTAGGATGCGCCTTCTTTTCAATTGAAATATTAAAGTTATTACATATTAATAAAAAAAAATATGTATGTTATCAACCAAAAAAAAATCACAAAACAAATAAATTATTACACATTAATAAAAAAAAATAATGTTATATATATATAATATTTAAAATAGGATGAGATGTTTTAAAAGTAATTACATGTTTAATTTTATTTTAAAATAAAAATAAATTTGTCTTTGATATGATCATGAGAATGTCATAGCCTATCAAAGTTAGGATGAACATAAACACACTCCCTAATCATTCATAATGCTTAAGAACAGAGATTTTTTACTAAAAAATAATTGATTTTTTTTTTATCGAGGCCAAACAAAAAGAATGGATGTTAGACTTTTATTATTATCATCATCGAGGTCTAAAACAACTCATGCTCATGTGATGTTAGAACATCGTTCTTTTGATTAAGTATATATTTTAATATATGAACATATTAGCAATGATATCATTATATTGTGACGTCAACCCACGCATAGTATTAATCTTCTTACGTTTATTATATTGTAAAATGCAATGTACATCTTTTGGTAACTGTAGATCTACAGCTTTTTAGATAGCATATTTTCCCTGTTATCCTTAAAGATCATTCCAGAAATAAAATCAAAATTAAAATGAAATTCACTCCTCCGCCGGAAACTTAGTGAATGCTCACCGATTTTATTTATAAATTATTTTATTAATATTATTAATATTAATATAATAAAAATATAAAAAAATTAATAAAATTATAAATATAATCTTTAAATAGTAAATAAATTATATAATATTATTTTTCTATTTCTCTCTCTTTTATTTTTTAAGGATAATTTAGATATTTCATTTAAAATAAAACATCACTATTAAATCAATGATTTATAAAGTAGATCACTTCATATTTTTTAAAAGTGATTAATAAAATGGATTGAAGGGAATATAAATTAAGAAAAACAAAGAAATAGAAGGAATCAAATTCCAAAAACAGCTACCAAGATCAAATATGAATTGGATTTAAAGAAAAAAAAATTCATGGATAATTTGAATTGGATTCAAACAAAAAAAAATCCATAGATAATTTGAATCGGATTTAAAGAAAAAAAAATCATAATTAAATATAGCTATCAAAATCATCATGTTGAATCAAAACCCAAACCAAAAAACTGACGTTAAACAATCAGGAATAAAAATAAAAAACAAAAATGGATTAACGCATCCTAAATAAAATCATAAACCAATAATACCACAAAAATCTTCTTATAAATGTAAAAAAGATCAGTAAATTGCCAAAGAAAATAAAGAAAGAATATGAAAAAATAAAAAATAAAAGAAGAAAGAGAAGAAGAAGGTAGAATCCTGATCTCCAAACTCCAATCCCAATTTTATTGGTTGTTCCCCTTTAAAGAGATTTGATGGGCAAAAAGATCGCATGGAGTTCGATTAGCAAATCTGAGACAACAATGGAGGTTTAACAATACATCTAAGGCTATGGCTAGGTGATGTGACGAAGATTCATACTTAGAGAAACCACAACCATCAAAGTGAAAGAGAAATAAAAAAGGCCAGGATGGACAGAGACCAAGGACGTGAAGAGGTTAAGGAAAGGAAAGGCTTTAGGGAGAGGGAGAGTGAGATTAGAGGGTTGTGAACTATGCTGTGTAAGGGAGACAGTGTGAGAGATCGAGGAAGAGAGATTTGAGAGTAATAGGCATGAGTATAGTATTTTGAGACGTAGATAGGAATGAGAGAGATCAAATCATCAAATCAGGCCCATGTCTGAAAGTGAAGAGTTAAAAGCTGTGTTTGTTGGTTAAAAATCGTGACCACTGGATTGAATGTAACTATAGCTATAACATCATGATCCCCGTGCTATTTCAAAATCATCATCAAATCCATAAAAATATTATTTTGGTTATAGGATCTTTAGAATTTGTTTATATATAAATTTTATGATATTATGTTAGATATTTTTCAGAGTAAAATATCATGATTTTCCCTCTGGTTTATCTTAATTACATATACTTGTTTTTTAATTTTGAAACTTATACGAATCTCTCCAGGTATAATAGATTGTTAAAAAAATACAAACATCTTTTTTATTTTTAATATATTTTAGAGTAAAATATTCAATAAATATAATTATATATATGTTGAATCAAAATACTACTTTTTAAATATAAACATTGTCTAAAAATCATTCAAATTACCTAAAAAAATAATGCGTATATTTGTTTTAATAAATTTTTTAAAAAATTAAATACATAAATTGGCTGAAATAACATTAAAACACAAAGTGAAAAATTTACGAAATAAGAACTTAATACAATAAATTATGATTTTACCAAAAATAAATTACTTAATATATTTTATTCTTATTTTTATCCAAATTTCATTAATTTCAACACAAAATTTTTAAATTATTTATTTAAATATTGACATACTTAATTTTTTAAACTGTGATAGAGAGTAGACAATTAGATTATAATGATAAATTAATAATTTCAAAATTTTTAACATAATTAGAAATAAAAAATTAAGTATCTTAAAGTGTTTTATGAAATATGTCTAGCGGCGTTAAGGATTAAATTAAAATATATATTTTTAAAATAAATTAAAAGTCTCTGTAATTTTAGTAAAATAAAAGGAAAGTCACTGTATTCCACTCTTTTTAATTTATGTAGTATTTCCTTCATTAAAAAATATAAAGTATTTTTTAAGAGATTAAATCTTAAAAATATAAAATATTTTTAATATTTTAAGGTGTAATTATTATATTTTTCTCCAAAAGTGTCCCAACGAACGAATTATTTTATATTTATTCTTAAGTGAAATATTTTATTAAATAAGGGTGAATATAAAAAGATAATGTTAATTTGAAGACAAGTAACTGTTTTATTAAAAATGACTTATATTATTGCATGAAGGGATTAGTGTTTAAACTAAAAACTTTTTTGAATAATTGGAAAAGACTTACCTACTAAATCTTATATACTTAAAATAAAATATTTTCATATTCCTAATATATACAGGGTAATAAATGTTTAAATAAAATATTCCATAAAATAAAAAATTATAAAATAAAAGGGGTTTTTATATAATTTTTATGATATCATTTCAAAATTTTTTACTCGCGTAACTTTTATATCAGGTTTTAGTTTTTAAATAACTTGTAATACACATAGTGTAAGAAGAAATAAATTCTGAAATAAAATATATTATTTAACTGTTTAATATTCTCGAGAGTAATAAATTATAAATTTCAAGAATTTTTCATTTATGTTGTTTTAAAATTACTTATTAATTTTTTATCAAAAAAATCAGCTATTACTGTTTTAGAAGGATTGATAATTAGACATGGTATATATGGCACTAAATTTTGTAGCAAAATATGCTTTTTAACTTTTTAATATGCAATCGACAACAATTTATTAAAAAAATGTGCATATTTTATTATATAAAATTGTATATATTTTTATCCAGGTGAGATTTAAAATTGCACGGATGAAAGATTACGAAATAAAATAAGATGACATTTGGCGACAAAAAAAAAGATGTCATTTTTATTTTGAATATGCACTAGGACAAAAAAATTAAAATAAAACAGGTTTTTTTTATATTTTTAAAATGCAAGGGATAATAAATTTTGAAATAAAATATACTATAGAGTATAATAAATCATTAAAAAATATTATTATTAAATGGATGTTTACTTAATTTTTGATTTCTTTTAATCTTTGCTTTTCCCATACATTGCCCGGGCTAGAAGCTAGTTGGTGCAGTAACATTTATATATTACAAAGATAGATGTTAAGGACTGTTTTTGCATGGGAATTTTTTTTTTTTTGCAATGGAAATTTAATTCACAAGACGTTGCAATATTGTTTGATTTTCTTAAATTAATTTTAATATGAAATCAATAATGTATAAATTTATAATTATTTGTTTAATGTTAAACATCATCACAGTTTTCTCTCTTGTATGTCCTATTAAAGAAATCAAACCAAACCATCGTACCAAAAAAAAAAAAAAAAAACCAAACCAAACCAATATCATCATCAGATGAAATAGGTTCGATGTTATCCCAAAAGAATCAATTGGGTTCGACTTTTTCCAATACCGAGTAGGTCCAAGCCTTTAGGAACCCTTAAAATTAACTTCTGATAGCTAAGTTTCGGATAATTTATGCTTTTAAGATTGTAACGTGCTGTCAAATAAATTCCCTATGCATACGCTAACAACAGCGAATAACGGTAATGTTCTCCTTTTGGACCATCATGAATAATGAAGAATGACGTGCATATTTCAAATTTACATTAATACGATGCAACTATTTCCCCCCCCCCCCGGGGGGGGGGTTTCAATTTTTATCTGTAACACGTACTTTTTGCTTTTCCTTGCATGCAATCGTGTCCTTGCATGAACTGATAATTTCAGACCAAGAACATTAACCAGAACTGCCAAAACCTCAGAATCTGGGGGGCATCGCATGTCTCTCTCTCTCTCTCTCTCTCTCTCTCTCGCATTGACCTTTTCCATCTTTCCCTTGCTTTGGTGCCATTGGATTTCAGATTCTCAATCTACACAATCTGTCGACCGCTAGAGCTTTTTCTGTATATGCTCATAAACTTGGCCACAAATTCTGCACGCAAGCACGCCAGTGCATATATAATATCATTCTTTCACAATAATAATAGTAATCTATTACAGTATAACTATGAGTAATTTTGCTCACCTTCTAATTTCAGCAAAGCAGTAGTTCCTGGCGGGAGTCTCTTGTCCTGTTAATTTGCAGTGACACGCACAGTACTATATGTAGTAGGTATGATAAAAACACAAAACGTGTAATAAAACGCTCTGTGCAGGAACAAGCTTACATAATACGCATGCCAGTAGAAAAGCTCCCTCTTTAAGCTGCTCTCAATTCCTTTTAGGAGCTGTTCCACGAGTTTCTGCATATTGGAACACACAACTCCATTTTAAATCTGTTTTGGTAAATACCTTAATGGTTTTTCTCACAATAATCAAGACGCCGTTTGTTTGTTACCCGGAGAATAAGTTTGGGGTGGACGAAATCCACCAGAAGCTTCTGTAATTTCCCTCTTATTGAGAATAGGCTGGTAAGAAGACCATAATCAAGATCAGGAAAGGGGGGGGGTGGACAAACTAAGAAAATCTCAAAATGATCAGTCACCGTGAATATGAAGGATCAGCTAGGATCTCTGCAGAAACTTCTATTATAATCTCCTCCCATCCAAGCGGTATTGGTTGTTCTTCTGAAAATGGATAGCTGCACAGCACAAACGCCCCTAGCATGATTTTGAAGAAAATTTACTGAAATGTCACAGCATTATTTGCTTCAAGTCCTTACTTGTGAGCTCTGCATGCTTCAAGAGCCATGATTGCTTTCCTGAGATTCTGCTTCGACTTGGTGGCAATCTTAGCCGCAAAGTTCATAGATAGATCAATTTCTTCTTGTTTTGCTATCTGAATAAGAACATCCATAATCTAAAACATTGGGAGCTGATGTGAGTCTATTAAGTATATGCAAAATATACCATGTCTTGTAAATTGTAAGATACTGTGTATGAATGAATACTCGGATATATTTTTGGAATTATACAAAACCAAAACCAATAATTTGGAATTCTTTGAAAGTTGGTTTGTTTACTTCGTGAGTTGGTGGAGCATCAATATTAATCACTTTGAACCGGTTTTTCACGGGCTCAAGAATGTCTGCATCATCTTCACAGCAAACTATGAGTTTGCATATATCAGAATAACGATCTATAATCCATTTGATCATGTGTTGGATGTTGTCAGCTGCTTTGTCAACCTCGTAAAGGACTAGAACTGAACAGTAAGAGAAGTAAACGATCTTGTTAATTCATTAATTAGCTAGCCCATCATTCATAAAAAGTGCTGCCAAAAATTATATCAGATCGATAACCTTTGTAATCTGACTTGAAATTGATATTACTGACTTCAGGGGTAATCGCATATTCAGTGCTTATTTCCTTAACTAATCCCATTAAAGCATATTTAGCATTAGGTTCCAAATTTACATTGAGCTCCATGTGATGAGAACTGGACGTTATTGGAACAGTGATTTTCACTGGCCTCCTTTCCTGTCAATTTATAATAATATGGGTTCTTCATATGAGCTTCCCGAACTGGATTGAAGATGCAATAGTTTACTGGATTAGAAATATCTACCTGGATGGAGAAATTTCTCAAATCATGAGACAGCTGCAAAAGCGTTTGACAATGTAAGCTTAGAGATCCTGGTGATATTTGACCGAGGGAAAAAAGAAAAAAGGCAAGAAAATGTCAAGAGACATACATTCGACGTCGCATCACTGAATATTTCTCGCAGAAAAGCCATTGCTAGCGATCTTTTTCCTGAACCAGTTGGTCCTTTCAGCAAAATATGAGGACACACGTCCTGAGACACCTAGATTTAATGAAATAGGAATTGCAAATATGCAAACTAAGATATCAAAGATCCTTCTTTGAGGTAGCTACAGTAAGATAAGCAAGATTTACGAGCGCAAAGTCATGTTGCAATTTCTTTCACACGTCATGAAATAAATTCATGTGATTTGATATTTTATATTGTCTTAGAAGCTAGAGACTAAGCCGTTACTAATTTGAGAACGGAAAACCAATTTTCAAACGACAGATGGAAAGCAGAGAGCTTATGTAAATATTTAAGAACTTACAAATTCCTTGAGAAGTAGAGCTTCTTGTTGGTGGCAAGTGAAGCCATCCAGTGAGGCAGGTTGATACTTATCTGCCCATAATTGTGGGAGGCTTTGGATTACGAAAGCTTTCTCAATGATAGAAGCCTCATCAACTGATCGATGCTGGGGCGATTTATTCGATGGCTTGCCTGCTTTTCTCACGCAAGCAAAACATGCGTCTGCTTGGTTCTTTTTCCCGTTCATTATGAATTTCTGAATGCCAGAACTTGTGCCACTAACTTCACTCTTCACCCTATTACTCCCACTTAAATTCCAACCATTCTTTTTGCTTCTAGCAGCAGTACTAGAAACCGCACTTGATCTAGATGATGCACCATCATTGAGATTACCATTTGCTCTGTTCGGATGATGATGATAAGGAGTGCCTCTTTGGGGAAGGACCTTAGGCCTCGAGTTCTTAAACTGGGCTTCAGCGTCAATGTTTGGTTTTGTTGACAAGGTCTTGTGCTTCATCATGGCATTGCATTCGCGAGAAAAGAAAATATCACCCGGTAAACTTGACTCTGTACTTGTTATCGTGAGCTCATCGTTAACAGGATCTCTTGAAAATTTCGCCTCAGCAACCATCTCGTTGATATCTCCTATTGAAGGAGCGCTCGCATGGGATGGTTCCCTTTCTCTTCCCCTTAGTCTCGGAGCAGTCACTGATCTCCTCTGGTTTGGTTTCTCACTCGATCTGTTCGCCGCTCTCCAATTGAGATTTTCTCTTCCAATGTCAGGTTTTGGCAAAGGATCCAAACCAGTTAGGGGGTATAGAGCCTCGCCGTCTGCTCTGAATGGCCTGTAGGGCGATCTACTTTGGTGTCTCCTTCGTGCCGAGCTCGCCACTGAAGCCGTAGCTAGAGATGACATTTCGTGTTCGAACTTGGAAGGATGTCTCCTGTGCAGTGCCATGGGAATCTTGTTCCTCAAGTTGAGAACTTTTGCCTGTTCGGGTCCCAAAGTCAGATTCTTTCTTCCTCGCTCATGTCTGGGAACTTGTTGCCACTCTGTCTCTGTGTCTGATGGTTCATACCCACTTCTTCCGTCCTTAGTCGAGAACCTGGAATTCGGAGTCCAAGGAAATACCCCATTCGGCGGCGAATTCTCCATCGAGTAGACTCAAATGACAAGCAGCGAAATAAAGCACGAAAATCAGTGTTGTAAAGAAAGTGATTATATAAGACAGGGATGATATTTTATTTGGACAAGAGTAGAGAATATTTGAGGACGCGATGGTTTCGAAAGGAGACTCCTTGGTGAGGGTGATGTCTGCAACGATGATGTGTTGTTGAGAGAAGTGGAAATAGTGGGCATTGGCATCAGGACAGGAGCAAACAGCTGGGAATATGAAACGTAATAACTAGGAGGAGGCAAGAGTTCTGTTTAACGACTTTAACTAGGCGATGAATTACGTGGTTTTGGCGCGTACTTGACAGAAACGAGCTTGGTTAAATTCGTCTAGTGTTTGGATTTCTCTTGTCGTCATCGTGAAGTCAATTCATGCAGCCGGGTTCCAAGTCGTTCCCTACTATGATGGTGCTTCATCACAAGTAACCTTTTTGTGAGGATTACTAGTTTCAATTAAATCCTTTCCCGTGTTTTTCACTCTAAAATATAGTAAAACTTTCTATATTCGGATATAGAAATAAATACAAACTAGATCTTAAGCCCCTTTGCATAGTGTACGAGCCTGAAACTTTCCTCATTTAGTCCGGACCTGAAGCTTGCTTCTTTTGCTGTTCCGCCGAAAAGAAGCATGGTCAACCTTTTCGTTCATATTACGAATTTCTGGATAAGTTCTTGTGCTCATCGTATAGATGAGTAATATGAGCTCATTGCCTTTAAATCATTTAAATTTAATTTTCATGATTCATATTTATAGTTTTTTAGGTGTTTTGAAATAAAAAGTTATTTTTAAGAAATTGTATTTATTTTTCTGTCAAAAAAAGAGATTGTCTTTATTTAAGATTTTATATCCATTAAAACATTTTTTTTAAAAAATAAGGGCATAAAGCAACAAATTTAAATGTCGACATTTGTTCTCAATACTGGTCACATATAGGATCCGCTGCCGACATAGGTGGTTGTTGGATATATGCATTGCGGTCCGCCGAACGGCTAATTCTCAAAGTTATTTCTTGATTTCATCCGGTCATTAATAACTTAATTATTTTTAGATAATAGTAAATCGAAACAATGCTCGTATGAATTCAGGAAGACCTCATGCAAACGTAGTTTGACTTTTGAAAAGGTCATTGGAATACCCCAATGTAAGTGTTAAAATTTAATGACTTTAATTTTATTATAACAAAAATTAATCTACAAATCTTTAAGATTTTGAATTATACCCTTATAATATATTTTATTTTATTTAAGTATTTATAATTTAATCAATTAAATATGCTAATCAAAATCCATTACTTTTACCTTTTAAAAAATAAAATTAAGGACTTTTATATGTTTATTAAAACATTATATTAATTTTAGATTTAATCACATACTTTTTATAACTCAAAATTTATATAATTAAATTATATTTTTTAAATAAATTATATATAGCTATATATAATTTTCATAAAATATTAATAAAAATATAAATCTAATATTAAATAATTTTTTGGGTTAAAAGTATTAAACCAAATTTGCTATAATTTTTTAATTTTTTTATTTAAAAAAACCTCATCATTCATTAATAATTTTAACCTTCCATGATTAATATATTTAATCAATCAAATTACAAGAGTTTGATTAAAAAATTATATGAATTTAATTTAAAATTAAAAAAATAGAAGGACATGCAAATTAATTTTGTTTTATAACGAATAAACTGAATATACAATAGAATATGCTGGCGTTAAGAATAAAAGCAGCGAGGGAGGATTTTGGAGAATAATTTTCAAAAAGAAAATAAACTTGCATTAATTACTGGAATTCCCTCGCGACTTCTATCCGAAAAGAAGGGTGAACTGACACATTCCAACTTTGAGCCTTGCCTGCCTCAGATTCAAACTTATCCTTGAAAAGTCAAAAAGATGCGTTGCCGTGATGCGTCCGGTTCGAATGCTCATTACATCAATTTGAAAAATCTGATGGTCTAAATTTACGAATTTTATTTTTTTTATTTTATATTTATCAAAATAAAATTATAAATAATAATAAATATATTTATTTTCAATCTGAATAATGAGAATTTAATTTGAATGATGTAATTTAATATTAAATATTTTTATAATTTTATAAATTAATTATTCACATGTATTCCGTATAGTTTAAATTTTAAATTTTAAATTGCAACCTTTTCTTAAACTTTTTAAAGTGTCAGTTTGAAATTTTTGTATTTTTATTTTTTAATATTATGTTTATCAAAATAAAATTTATAAGAATTTTAACAAGTTTATTATTAAATCCAAGCTGTATACAATACACCTAAATAGTTAATTTATAAAAATTATAAAAAAATTTAAAATTAAATTCAATCATTCAAAATAAATCTATATTATTTAGATTGATGATGAAATAGATTTAATAAAATTTTATAATATTTATAATAAATATAAAATAAAATCTTTAAATTTAGACAGTTTAGATGCATGGTCCTCATCATTTGATGAGCACTTAAGTGAAATGTAGTCAATGAGCACCTAAGTGAAATATAGCCATGATTCTTGTTCCGTTCACATAGCAGGACTAATAGGTTTGATAGATGAAATTAATTTCAATACTCATCATATAAATGAGAACTGAGAGCTCATCACCTTTAGACCATTTAAATGTTTTAAATTTATAACTCTTTACTCTTATTTGTTTTTTAAAAAAATTAACGGATACAAATCTAAAATAACAATAATTTCTTAATTTTTAGTTTTTTTAAAAAAATAAATTTTGATTTAAAAAATATACGTCAAAAAATTATAAATATAAATTATGAAAATTAAATTTATATAATTTAGAGATGATGGGGTATCAATTCCTGTGGAGGCCTCTCTCGCAGACTCGCGGGGATAAAAGTATGCTTCAACGGTCACGACCATTCTCACTAACACCTGCTAGTGTAGTTTGCTAATTTTTTATTCCATTTGAGATCCAGAATAATTCAATTTCATTGATCATTTGAGCCAAGTATTTTTGGATAGTTTGTTAATTTTTTTTACCATAATTTAGTATAAATTTTTTAAGGTTTATTGTAAATTATTTAAACTATATTTTAAAAAAAATAATAGAATTCTGTGGTTATTTTTATCATGGGAGGTTATTATCATTATTTAATTAGTCAACCAGTTTCTTTTTCAATTATATTTATTACGTTAGAACGTCACTGCCTCAACTGCCTGAGAGTCTTGGTTCATTCAGATTGTACGATTATGTAACTGATCACGGAATTAAAAACAAATTAAAAGGGGAACTGATATTTCTCTTGAAGATGATACAAAACGGCAACAGCGCAGAGTGAGTGCTCAGTGATCAAGGCTAATACTGGAACGGGTTTGGGAGCTCATCATTATAGTGAGATATGAACCATTTAGATTTTAAAAATTATTATATATTATATTTATTAAAATAAAAATATATAAAAATTATAAAATAATTTTAATAAATTTTTTATTTTTAATATGGTCTAAATTTAATTTAGAGAGAGTCTAATTTAATACTAAAATTTTTATAATTAATATATATTGACTATGCAGATGTACTTTGCATAGGTCGGATTAATATCAGATATTAATCTGGCCTGTGTAGAGTACATTTAGATAATCAAAATATATTGATTATAAAAATTTTAATATTAAATTAAACCATTTAAATTAAATTTAAATCATATTAAAAATAAAAAATTATTAAAATTATTTATTAAATTATTTAATAATTTTAATAATTTTTTATTTTTAATAAAAATAAAAATAAAAATATATAATAATTTTTTAAATTTTAACCATCCAAATTAAAATTTAAATAATCCAAATATTATTACAGTGATAAACACCACAAGCGAGGCCTCGGTATTATTAACATGAATTAAAAAAAAATTGAAATACAAAAGGCGAGCCTCGATATTATTAATCACGCGGTGTCTCTCACACGAACTTGTTCAAGAACTCGTCGACGGTGGTGTATTTAACATCTGGGTAAAGCCCCGTCGCTTCCACCCCGATAGATGGATCGATCTCATAGTTAGTGCAGTCTCCTTTCACGTACATTGAATGACTCACCGCCAACAGGAAGTTAAACGGAATAGGACTCTCTGCATATATCCACCACACAAATTCTCAACATATATTAATAAGATGTTAGATGAGCAGGTTTTCAACATCGTCGGGATCTGAGATTTATCCGTAGTTTTATAAACCACTGACCTGGGATTTTCTTCAGAATTTCATCCTCTGGAATGTAGGACCTTTCCAGGGTCTTGCCTATCTTCTTCTCCCACAAGGAGACCAGCTCGTTGAAGGTCAGAGTGTTGGCTGGTGGTCTGATGTAGAGGATCTTGTTTAGGGTTCTTGGGTCTTCCACCGCTTTGATAGTGTATGTCCCTATGTCCTCCTCTGTCACGTAGATTGCTGAAAACACGGCAGATCACACCACATCTTGAGTAATTAACGATACAGTAATTTTGTTTTGAGTGGAAATACGATGATCTGTTGGGGTGTTACCTTTGACATTTCCATCTCCTATAATGGAAACCTTGTCCCGAGGAGGAGCAGTGACGTTCTGCTGTCCCAGAGTGGGCAAGAAATACCCAGCGAAGGCGTTGCTCACAACATAAGTGTAGGGTATCCCTTCCGCTTCAACTTTCCTTCTGAAGTTCACTTTGAGATTCAAAGCACTGCCAGCTGGCTCAACAACATGGTGCCGATCCACGTCCAGCCCAAACTCTGAGGGAAGGAACCTCTGTTTCCATGATGTAATAACACGGCACATATCAGTCAGCGTTTTAGCTGTTGAATGAAATCTGCCTTGACATTCAAATTCAACGGTCAAAGCTCTCGACTTTTTAACGAGCTCTTCACGGGATGATGAAAAGGGCTTACCTTGATTTTGTTTCCGGCTTCTTTTATGGCAGCGAGGATGTTCACCTGATCGGCCACCTGAAAACTCACCGTGGAGATCACCACATCGACCTGCTTGATTGCCTTGACCAGACTCTCGTGATCGTAGAGGTCACCCTGGGATAACACAGAAACATGAGGAAATTAGAATGCTTATTGGGACGAAATTAAAACAAGATTGAAATGGAAGTTAAATTGAAGAGGGACAGAGACATGGAGGACGGTGACTCCAGAACCCTTGAAGCTCTTGACAAGGGCGGACTTGTCGGGATTAGAGAGAGTGCTTTCCCTGACAAGCACGTAAGTGGGGTGCCCTGCTTTTGCGCTGGCCTGGACGATGAATTTCCCGATGTAGCCTGTGCCTCCGATGATCAGAATCCTGCTTTTCTCAGCCATTGATGACGATGAGTTTTACTATGGCAACGACAGATAAAATTCCGAGCGGCGATGGATTGAGAAATACAAGCATCCCAAGTAGTGCTTAAATAACACTTTAAAACCAAGGGATTACTAGTCAACGTGGGTCCAGTGGAGCATTCCTTGAAGTTTCTTAATTTACGATATTTTATTCACATCTTCCACGCATTTCAATGAGGAATTGTGAATCGGTGAAGTCACCCCTTCGAGAACATTATGCCACGGAGGCACCTTACATTCTGAATTCCCATGTCCTCCGAGACAAAAGGAAAAATAACAACCAACTAAAATTTATATCAATTAAAAGATTAATTATCAAAATTTAAATAAATACTTACCAATTTAAATTAACCTTTTATTAATAAATATTTATTTAAATTTTAATAATAATTTATTTTGATTTATTTTTCATTCGAGTTTTGTAGAAGTCTGTTATTGTTATTTTCCTAAACAAAACGATATAACGCGGCCACTTCGAACACGAGCCATCTAGAAGTTCGGTGGATATATACACGACGATAGAATGAGATTATTGAGTGTATTGACATGTTAAAGATGCCTTAGTATTGTTGAGTCGTGATTGGCAGTGAATCTATTTGTCACACTATGCCACTGTGTGAATGGAATGGCATAAACTGAATAAATATACTTTGCATTATGATTAAACTAATATACAGATAGTTTTAACTGTTGCTGATGCATTATGTTCGTCACATGAATAAAAAATATTTTAAATAGTTTGTCAACGCCAGCATTTCACTGCATGTAATTACTAAAGCCAATGCGCGTTTGAAAGGGACCAGATGACAGATGAACCATATGTATTCTCCAGATTTTTAATCTAGATGGTGTAAATTTATTTATTTTTATATTTATTAAAATAAAAATTATAAATTTTAATAAATATATTTTATTATTAATTTAAATAATATATATTTAATTTAAATAATTTAATATTAAATATTTTTATAATTTTTTATAAATTAATTATTTAAATGTATTTTGGGTTTGGACGGTCTGAATTAAAAATTGTAAAGTCGCAATATTTTTTAAATTTTTTAAAGCACCAGTATGAAGATTATTTTTATTTTAACTTTTTAATATTTTATTTATTAAATAAAAATTTATAAAAATTGATTAAAGTATACTTTTAATCTTTGAACTTTATATAAAGTTTTAATTTTGATCTTTTAATTTTATAAAATATCTTTTTAATCCTTTAACTTTCCTATGATTATATTTTATGTCAATCATTATTATTTAAAAAAATTAAATTTAATATGTCAACATTTGAAAATATTTTATTAATATTTAAAATTTAATTAAAATTTTTTTAAAATAAATAAAAAATAAAAAATAAAGATAAACAAATTTTGATTATCTAAATTTTTAATCAATTAACAACATCTAATTTCCCAACCACCCATTCCATTTCGTGGCTTGTCGGGGGTTTGGGTGTGGATCTTGTAAAGTTCACTTTTAATTTAGAAAAAGTTAATATAATAGTAGTTTAAATGTCAAATCATAAGTAAATTCTGAAGAATGACGTCAAGCAGATATGAACATGACCTAGGGGATAGTCCAAGGTTTGGTTTGGACCAGATATCTACTTCCCCGAAAGATCGAGAGAGGATGACGCAAAAACACTAAAGGCCTGTTTGCCAATTTATTTTAAAAAAAGTTTTTTATTCTTTAAAATAAAATAATAAAAAAAATATGTTTGATAATATATTTTTAAAATATATTTTAAAAAATAAAAAATAAAATATTATTTTAAAGAATAGAAAAATAAAAATAACTTTTAAGTATTTTGAAATTATTATTTTAAAAAATAAGAAAAATGAAAAAAATATTTATTTTTATTATTTTTTTTGTTCTCAAAACATGTTTTACAAAACATCAGTTCTCGAAACAATAAAATAAAAATAGTTTTAAACAGTCCATAATTTTTTAGATTTTTTTTGTTTTGGAGGGGAGGTTGGGTAATGTAAAGAATGGCCCAGACTGTAAATTTTAAAAATTCAGTTTAATTTTAAGACTCAAAAACTCGAATATAATAATTGAAAGATTATTTGCAATGAAGTTATAATTTATAAAAGTTTAACGGTAAGAAAAAGTTTGGAACTATGTTAAGATTTTAAAAACATAGAATGTGAAGAATACATCATCCATAGCACGATTGCCGCATCATATGATTTTAAAAGGATTAGATAATGCTGGGTGAAGTTCGTAGTAAAGTTAGGATTTTAATTTAGGAGGGGCAAAATCATTTACATATTTATAATTAAAAAAATTAATAAAAATTATTTAATAATTATATTTCTTATAAATTGTCTTTACGTAGTTTCATATTTTGAAATCATTGAACAATTAGTTTACTATCAATATTTTTAAATATATTTTTTTAATATAAATCACAAGATAATTATTCATCCATAAATTTTTCATTTGATTACGTAACTAATTTTTTACAAATTTTATAACAAAAACGCTTTTTGACAACAGATAACATCATTATTATTTTTAAGAGAAGGTAGATCAATAGATAAATAATATATCTTACAGTTTCAATTAATTTTTTTGTAAATTTGATTTGAGATTTCGAATAATGTGGGCCAAATTATTTCTTTTCTTATTTAAAAGTTTAATAAATGTTAATTTTTTATAAAATAATATTACTATTTAAGTATATTAAAATTATAGGTTAAAATTTATTGGGCTTTTGAGTTAAAAAAAATTTAGATCTGAGTCAAAAAGTAATATGAAATGAGTTTAAAATATAAAATATAAAAAAAAGGGTGTAAAATATAAATACTTATATCTTCATCTCCATGTAGATAATTTAAAATCAGCTTTCCTACACACGTACATGTATGTATATGTATTGAATTCATGATGTATAAAGTTCTTCGCGTAATAAAACTATTTCATAATCAGTCAACGTTAGTGGCTCTCTAGAAACCAAAAACGACTTCGTCAAATTTTAAAATCGAATAGTAAAGAGATCCATCAGCGACTCGTAATCGTGGTCGTTGTTGAATTTCTTTCACGAACGTAAGCGGGTGCTTCTTGAATATAAATATGCTACTTCTAGTCTAATTTACAAATTATAGCTTATCATCACCAAAAAAAATATAAGAAATAGCTTATAATTCAATAAATAGGCCTAGAAATATTTTTTTCCGGTAAATGAAGCACTTGTTGTTTGAAAGAGACAACGCGTGGCCGTGGAATCAATATTTAACAGAGTTCTCAATGTTAAAAACTTTAAGCTTTTTCTTTTTCCAAACGTCAAGCTCCTCCTAGTCCACTCCACGTGAGAAGTATTGTAGAGGGTTATGTTTATAATCTGAATTCACTTTTAATTTGGAAAAAATTAATATAATAGCAGTTTAAACGTCAATCATAAGAAAAATTTGAAGGTAAAGTTCCCCTGTATTTTTATACCATGATTGTCTAGAGAAAAGAATCTCTTCATTTCCTATCTTATTATTGGGTCAAAATTTAAACCCATTTGATATTTTATAAAATAGTTATTATAACATTATATAAATAAATAATTTTTTTATTCCATCAGTTTGGAAAAGTATCACTGCAAATGTAAAGAGTTACATATAATTTTTATTGATATGAAAAAATACTTATGACTATATATTTAGAGAAGGACCTTGGAAAGCCTTAAAAAAAAACAAAAGTATAGATTACCAATATAAGAGTTATATTAAGACATGTATGAAGAGGTAATAACTAATACAAGATATCTTCTTCACGTTGGAGATCCATGACTGGGTCAAATGGAATTTTAGATATGTGGGCAATAGAAAAGTGGAGGTGTGGGTGGCGTATTTCATTGTTGCTTGTTGGTTGATATGGAAATGATGGAACGTTCGTATTTTTGAAGGGAAGAATACATCATTGCAGAGTATTAATGTCCAAATCTCGGCTATCCTTCAAAGTATGAAGAAAGCTACAACTTATGGAAGGAAACTAAATTGGGATGGACAACCACTTAGTTTGGGACAAACACATGAAAAACTCCTCCCAAGAGCTGGTTTATGCTAAATGTAGATGGATTGTTCTCGCCTGAAATCCAAGGTGGGGGTTGCAGGGGAGTAATTTGGGATTTTGAAGGCAAGTTTGTGAGTGGATTCACTCTCGGACTAGTAGGGAATGACAGCTTGACTACTGAGCTATGGGCCATTTTAATAGGGTTTAAGCATGCTTGGGATACTGGATTACGACAGGTAACGGTGGCATCTAACTCTTTAGAAGCAGTGACTTTGACAAAGGAAGGCGACATTAGCTTTCATCAAGATAGGATGCTTGTGGATGAAATTCGAACGATGTTGCAACAACTGGAATATCTTATTAATGCATGTTCGTAGGGAAGCAAATCATGTTGCTGATTTTCTCGCACGTAAAGCTCATAATTCTTGGCCTGGATTAACGTTTATTAGTAGTCCTCATGAATTTATTCCTTTGTTGAACAAAGACTGTATTGGCATTAATAGCTAGACAGCTTACTCCTCCGTTATAAAAAAAAAAAAAAGATTCACACATAATTTTCATTTATATGAAAAAAAAACTTATGACCATATATCTAGAGAAGTATCTTAGAAAGCCTTAAAAAAGAAGGAAGTATAGATTGTCAATATAAGAGTTGTACAAGATATGTATAAGGAGTCAACAACTAATATAAGAATGTTTAGTGGTAAAATAAATGACTTTTCTATAAGGATTAGATTACGTCAAGGATCATCTTTGAGTTACCATTTGTTTGATCTGGTCTTAAATGTTGACTGAGTATATTCAAGAATCAAGAGGAAATCCTCAAGCACATGCTTTTTGCTGATGATATATTTCTTATAGCAAAGACAAGAGAAAAGATTAATTGTGAACTTGAGTTATAGAGAAAGATATTGGAGTCAAAATATTTTCGCTTGAATATGAGTAAGATAGAATATTTGTATTGTAACTTTGATAAGAGGTTAGTTAGTTGTAATTTGAAAGTAAAATTGGGAGATCAGATTATGTCTCAATTATAAAA